CGGGGCAAGCATCTACACTATGGGGACCTCATTTGCCAGTAAAAATATGATAATTGGTTCTTTACCCTTCTATCTGGCAACAAAACTGACACCTTTTTGCAAGGAGTCATGTTTGCATAGACCGCAATACCTGCAGTCATAATACAAACAAAAGAACATAACTCTGATAATGTGCACTGTCCTTGAAGTTGATTGGTCCACACCCGAGACAGCTTTCCTTCGAGCCTAGTCTCATATGGGTTGGACCAGATGACGCCAAAAGGCGCACAACTCAAGGACAATGCACCATCAGAGTATGAGAGCTCGGGGCAAGCATCTACACTATGGGGACCTCATTTGCCAGTAAAAATATGATAATTGGTTCTTTACCCTTCTATCTGGCAACAAAACTGACACCTTTTTGCAAGGAGTCATGTTTGCATAGACCGCAATACCTGCAGTCATAATACAAACAAAAGAACATAACTCTGATAATGTGCACTGTCCTTGAAGTTGATTGGTCCACACCCGAGACAGCTTTCCTTCGAGCCTAGTCTCATATGGGTTGGACCAGATGACGCCAAAAGGCGCACAACTCAAGGACAATGCACCATCAGAGTATGAGAGCTCGGGGCAAGCATCTACACTATGGGGACCTCATTTGCCAGTAAAAATATGATAATTGGTTCTTTACCCTTCTATCTGGCAACAAAACTGACACCTTTTTGCAAGGAGTCATGTTTGCATAGACCGCAATACCTGCAGTCATAATACAAACAAAAGAACATAACTCTGATAATGTGCACTGTCCTTGAAGTTGATTGGTCCACACCCGAGACAGCTTTCCTTCGAGCCTAGTCTCATATGGGTTGGACCAGATGACGCCAAAAGGCGCACAACTCAAGGACAATGCACCATCAGAGTATGAGAGCTCGGGGCAAGCATCTACACTATGGGGACCTCATTTGCCAGTAAAAATATGATAATTGGTTCTTTACCCTTCTATCTGGCAACAAAACTGACACCTTTTTGCAAGGAGTCATGTTTGCATAGACCGCAATACCTGCAGTCATAATACAAACAAAAGAACATAACTCTGATAATGTGCACTGTCCTTGAAGTTGATTGGTCCACACCCGAGACAGCTTTCCTTCGAGCCTAGTCTCATATGGGTTGGACCAGATGACGCCAAAAGGCGCACAACTCAAGGACAATGCACCATCAGAGTATGAGAGCTCGGGGCAAGCAAGGACAGTGCACATTATCAGAGTTATGTTCTTTTGTTTGTATTATGACTGCAGGTATTGCGGTCTATGCAAACATGACTCCTTGCAAAAAGGTGTCAGTTTTGTTGCCAGATAGAAGGGTAAAGAACCAATTATCAAACGTATTTTTACTTTTAAATTAATATTTTATGGGAAGGCTCTTCCCCAAGTTGGTCTGGCTTTTGTGAGGTTTTACTGTAAATTGTAACGTTGCCTTTCTAGATTCATTCTGGTTCAGATAATGCCACGTTTGTCTTTCATAATTTTTGATAGAGTGTAAATGTGTATGCAGACGTAGATGAAGATAATGTATTATAGTGTTACTCATTGTTTATTTCTCCTTTTCTCAAATCGCAGTATATTCAATATTGTGCAATCATTGCAATGTCGTGAGACATTACACCAATAGCAAAATGCATTGCACTCCCAGTACCTCGTGTCAGAAAACAGCCCCAAAAATCCTTCAGAACTGACCCCGATGAACAAATTTATCCACACCAGGAGCACACACATTTACACGCCCTGCCAAGTGTGTGTTGCATGACAATAAAAAAAAGTTTTAAATACATAATTAAAATTACTTATTTAAAAATTGTCATGAGTCCAAACAAGCTGAATTAAGTGAAACGACACATTTAATCTCGATTTGAAGTTTTCGTAACTGCGGGGATCCATACTCTTTGGTTCTTTTTGGTAAAGTCACGTAGGTATAAAATAAAATAAATTAAATCACGACGTTTCAGGCGCAACACAAGCGTCCGTCATCAGGTGGGACAACCACAGCAGCTACATACTATTAACATTTCTTCCGATTTAAAGCTTTCGTGACTGCAGCGATTCATATTCTTGGTTCTTTCGGTAAAGTCACGTTTACAGACCTGTTCTTCACCTGAGGACGGCTGCTATTATTTTATTACTTCCCTTCTACGTGACTTTACTGAAAGAACCAAGAAGATGAACATTCATTCCTTTTATTAATGCTACCCCTATCCCCTCCCTTTGATGCCGCTAATCCTGCATAATGCACGGGCATAATATGACTTTGAAACCCCCCGCCCACCTACGCATTTCACAAGTAGTACTAATCACATACCTGCATTTCCCATAAATATGCTAAATTCCTCTTGATATGCAAATTATTTTGTCAAGGCGCCATTCCCCCCTTCCAACCCAGCTTAAATATACGCTCCAAGCGTGGTGGTGTTTCATTCAGACGCTGTCTTCCCGACAGACCTGGTCTTCACCTGAGGACGGCTGCTTGCGTTGTGGCTGAAACGCCGTGAGAATTATTTTATTATGTTTTATTTTTATTATTTATTACTTCCCTTCTACGTGACTTTACCGAAAGAACCAAGAAAAACATATGTATTGCTTGCCAAAACAAGCGGTTGCCAGCCTGTGGTATCACAACCCATTCCAGTTTTTTAAGGTTTTACGGTTTATACTTTACAAACAAAATGTTACTGCATCTCATAAACGTTGCGCGGAGGCGCTTTAATGAACTCATAAAATAAGTGCCATGTTTGCAGACGTGTCAAAAAACATTTGTGTTCTTTGGTAATGGGGTAACGGGAATATTGTGCAGAAAAAAAATAGTTTAATTAGTATTGTAAGTATATGTGTATGGACACTTGCCACCGCATTAGGGGGAGCGGTGGTGTAGTGGTTAGTGCGCTGCGCTACAAACCGAGTGATTCGGGGTCAGTGTCCCAGTCACAGCTAAAATCAGTGGCGATCGATATTGGAACTGTTACTGGGCCTCCCATAGCTTAACTAGGCCTCAAATGAATACCTGATGTGGTATTTAAACACTGGGGAAACATGTGGCTGGTGGCACTGTGCTAATACAGTCGTCTGCCTCAGACCATTGGGGAGAGCTGGAGTGGGGTGTGCTACATTCTAATAGTCAATTAAGTGATGGACATCACAACCTATTTCCATATACATAGGGTGTGAGAGCTCGAGCAGAATCGAGAATAAGACAAAAGCAGATCATGTAGTTTCTCATTATGTGCAGCATTTCACATGTCTTTTAAGTTTGTTAAATATTAACTGCGTTGCGCTTCCCACCCCTGAATTTTTGGATACCTTCCGTTTAAACAAGCTCACGCCACTGGTCTGCTTATAGTGCTCGACTCAGTTCTAAGATTGCGAGTTGACATTCTTGTTGGTGGTTGACTGAGCATATCATCACGTCGAGTGTAGTAATCCTATGGAGGGACTGGCTCCCGCCATGGAAACATGTAAATGTCACCACTCCTAGTTGAAGGACACCAGTGGATATGAATAATCCTATTCCTAATTTGAGCCGAGGCAAATGCATTAATTTGATTTTACTCAACATGTGATGAGGTGAGAACATTTTCTTCTGGCACTCCTATAGTCATCATGTCGGGGTAGGGCCCAAGACATTGACACCAGGGAACTCCTTCTGGGGTTACCGTACTTCCATGGTGGCCGGTAAAAATGGCACAAGTGAAAACCAGGAAAAAAGTGGCATAAACAATAATCATCGACGGTTAGGGTTTATCATCTCTTTTATTCAGATGTGTATATAACTGTTAGTACGTTGCATCTAGCTGTTAGCACGGTACTGACAACTGTTCGTATAGTACTTATAACTGCTAATATAGGCCCGGTTCATCGTGGTATTTTTTCCTAGTTTTCACTTGTGTCATTATTACGGTGAAATTTTTTCCTGTACCATTTTTACCGTGCCATTTTTCTTCTGCCATTTTCCTTTTGCCATTTTTACCGTACCATTTTTACCGTGCCATTTTTTCTGAACCATTTTTACTTTGCTATTTTTACCTGTACTATTTTCGCTAGTGCCATTTTTTCCGGTACCATTTTTCCCATACCATTTTTTCCTGTTCCATTTTTACAGTGCCATTTTTCCCGAACCATTTTTTCTGTTCCATTTTTCCCGTGCTATTTTTACCTGTACCATTTCCACCTGTGCCATTTTTAACTGAAATAATACTTCCATAGGTCGTCCTGAATCAGCACTAGATGGGTTCATTCATGTTCTTTAAGATGTGGTGTGCTGAATATTAAATTGCCAAAATACTGTAGTATGTACCTCGTACATGAAATAATATGAACACTGAAGTTCTGTGATGGGATTTTTAGTTTGTCTAGTCGTCAGGGAATTAGTTGAGACCAACTTGCTACACTTGTGAACCTTGTCTAATGGTGAGCAACTCACAGATTTGAACCCAGAAACTGCTTAGTGTGCTTTCATAGGCACAGTATTCGTCTCTTGAGACAACTAGTCACCTTTGAATCCTCTATAAATCATGAAACAACCTCACAAAGTTACAGGGCAGCAACTGGAGTCACATTAACGATGATGTGCAAAATGGTTCAGCGGCCAGTATACTGCCCAGTATGCCATACCCAGTTGCTACATATTTTCATTACAATCATGAGCAAACATAGGCGTGTTTATCCTCGTGAATTTCTTTGTTCTTTAAATACTTTTAGTATTTTTTCATTTACGCCATGGATCCATTAAGTTGAAGGCATGTGGCCAAGCATGCCTGTGCTTGCCCAGACACACTCACACGCACAACATGCACTACCACCAGCAAAGGTTAAGAGAGCATTTGCCAGAGAGATGATCTTCGCATTTTATTTAAACTAAACCACATTTACTTTCCTCGAGTGGGAGTAGGGTGACTGTGCACGGGGCATTCAAGGCTCCCTTATTACCCACGGCATCTGATTTCTTGTCTCACACTCTGCTGGGAACTTGAAGCCGCACACCAGTTCACAGGAGTCTACTAAATTCATAGGTGGTTTATTTTGTGTCAGGGTTGTTACAGAGAGGAGGTGTGGTTAATGTGCCATTAATTGCACGTTGATATGTGCACGTTCTGTACATGACGCCACCCGATTATCACGGTTGGCTACGTACGGTGCGGAAGAAGTTCAACATACTGAAAACAAGGCGAGGTTAGCAGTGAGGTACTACTGTAAGAGAAACATCAAAGTGCAATGATCTAATGCAAGTGGATTGATTGTCAAGTCTCATTAAAATACTGCGTAAACTGGGGGTTATCAGAAGAGTTCAGCTCAGGTAAGTAGGAACGTACATTGTCATAGGCAATAACCCCAACAAAGTCATCACCTTGGCTTTAATTCTGCCTTACGGTATAATAGTAAAATATGCATTGTACACTAGTGATATTTTTGGCTGTGGATCGTCTTTAGAGCAGAATTTCTGTGTACGCACCACTGACCACATGTATGCTATGTAAAAAATAAAGATGTATGTGCTATGAAGAAGGGCTGTTGCCAGAAACATTTCCTATTTTTTTTCTTTTAAGGCCACAGCGTTGTAGACCAATGTGATAATTTTATTGTTTATTAATTGTGCTTATGCAAAACTGCCAATGCAGCAGCATCTGGAAAAATTGTGTTACGCAGCTTTTAGTTTCTTATTAACATAAGATGCAACAAGTCGTTGGACATGCCATCTTGGGAAGTTTATCCTCGTAATTTCTTATTGTTTACCACAGTTTTCTTCTTTTACGATTGTATGCTGGTGTTCATGCTGCATCCTAAATACTGTATATCTTGGTTTGGCTTTTGCAGCGCTGTGATAAAACACACATCTTATGAAGAATATAGTCGTTTGGGAAGTAATTCAGTGCAAGATCATGCGTCCTTAACTATTATTTTGTTTCCCCCTGTTTTTAAACTACATTAGAACTCCAATCATCCATGCTCCAATAATTTAGAGTCCCATGGTTTGTGGCAATGCCTATAATCCACGGGGGCGAAGATCCTCAAGTCCGTGCTTTTGCTGGGGATTTTTGTTGTCTCTACCTGGACAGACTAATTCCTCACGTTATATTTTTAATGAGTGGCAAGCTTCAAAGATGTGGCCATGCTTTAAAAAAAAAACATTCCCTCCAAAGGAACCTTGTAACCAAGTGAGAAAGACGTGTTTAAATCGCTTCAAACACATCTGTGTGTTGTGAGAGAGATGAGAGAGATGGTGGTATAGGATGCCACTTTTAAATCAAGATTGAAAATTCATTTCTTTAGAAGTCGTTTTTGTGTTTAGTTTGTTGTCCTTCCCCCGTACCTCAGATTAGCACGGTTGGCTACGTACGGTGCAAACTAGGTTCAACATGCATACATAGAGAGACAGAGCTGCAGCAAGTCAAGTGGCGATACAAGAGACATGGAGACAGAGACGTACAGAGCTGCAGAGAGACAAACAGAGACAAGCGGAGATAGAGTGAGACTAACGGAGCTACAATTAGATCAAAAGAGCTATAAACAGACAACTGGAGATGAGTGACAAATGGATATACTATATACAAAGAGACAAATGGAGATACAGAGACAAAGTAGATTATCCTGAATCGTGACATATTTGAATGGGATTGTAATTCATTTACATGCTTTCTTGCAACATTTTGATGCCGGAATACGCATTCCAACCACAGTGTCACAGGTACTGTGCACATTCTTTCTCCGTTCTTTACCATATCCACGTGTCCAAAACAATTTAGCCAGAGGTATAGTATATGTGTAATGATCGTAGAGTCAACCTAAGGTGTGAGTGGACTAGTGGCCACGGAGAGGTAATGACAGGGGAGTCAGCCTGCAGTATGAATGGACTAGTGGCCACGGGGAGTCAGCCTGCAGTGCTAATGGACTAGTGGCCACGGGAGGTATGGAAAGGGGAGTCAGCCTGCAGTGCTAATGGACCAGTGGCCACGGGAGGTAATGACAGGGGAGTCAGCCTGCAGTGCGAATGCACTAGGGGTTACGGGAATAATCGAGAATAGGAGCGTGGCCAGGTAACGGAAGAGGATGGGAGAGTCTGCTGGTAGAGCGAGCATCTAGAACCAGCGAGAAGGTTCGGGAATAGGGGCGTGGCCTCCGGCCGTATATAAGGGAGATGCGCTGGAGACTTGGGGCTGTTGCAGTGGGGTCTCCGCCTGTTCCAGTATAAGCGCGTGGCTCCTTCATAAAGAAACCATCCCAAGACAAGTGCATCCAAGTCATCATTACATATGCATTGCAGTCTTTGCAAAAGCAGTGGAAACAGTGTTGAGAAAAAGCTGCATACTCAATCCTAATTGGGTTGGTTGTAGGTGGACCTTCTTCTTCCGTACGGCTGATGTAGATCCACAGCAACAACTACAATTTCACATTCAGGTGGTCAAGCCAGATAACCGCGTCAGGAGGAGTGGAATGTATCACCGTCATGTCTCCTTCGTATTTGTGGATCGGGCATTGCGTCGTTATATGCTGTACGGTCTGCTCTGGATGACCACAGTCCCACACTGGAGAGCTTTCAAGTTTCCATTTGTGCATCAGGCATCTTCATCTGCCATGGTTTGTGCAGTGGATGCGTTTTAGGGTGGACCATGACCTGCTAATGTGCTTGTGCCCTTTGTTTACACAGCAGCCGGCACAGTCGCCATGACAAAATAGGGCACCGCAGGCTGAGAGAGAGATTAGCGGAGCATGAATTTACTAATCAAGAGCCAGGGAACCTAATGCCAGGGATTAATCGAGCGCGTCTGCAGGAAAACAGAGTTGCTGGTCACTTGTACAAGCCACACACTCGGCTATGAGTGGCTTTGTTCACCAATTAATTTATTATCCATTTCACTATACAGTAGTTAATTCTGTTTTAATGACGAGAAATCCCATCACTTCAGAAAAATAGTGCTGGCCCATAAACTATGAGTTTCAACAAACAAAACTGTGTACAAATGGCACTCGGCATTTGCGCATTATAGAACAAAAAATCATCAACAGTCCCAGAAGAACTGCATTGTGGTCGTCTATAGTTATAGTTGCCACCATTTATTTTTATGGTCTTGGGACCAGGTTGACAACATCAACGAAAATGCTTTGCATCCTCCACATCACTGGCAATAATCTTATCCAAGGCTGGATTATGGACCAGGCCAGTGAGGCCAGTGCCCCGGGGCCTCGGACTGGCAGGGAGCCTCCAAGCCTTAGGCCGCGTGCGGTGCCTGGCCCGAGAGCTGACCACTCGGGCCCCCGGACCCCGCAGTGCTTACAATCTGAGGCCTCTCGGCACTTAAAGCGTGAGCTGACCACTAGGGCCCCCAGGCCCCTCAGTGCATACATCGAGCATAACACCTGGGAGCCTCTTGGTACATACAGTGCATGCTTAAAACGAGAGCCTCTCGGAGAGTACAGTGCTTCTGTACAACTAAGCCACTGGCTGGCACGCTACAATATGCTGTGACATGATAAAATATTCACCAACAAGTCAGTTCATTCTGCACATGTCCTTTGGATCCTTTGGATTGCACTCTCATGGTGCTAATCTCTCATTAACACTGCTGTTGTGCGCATATGCGGGCATGATACTCTTATGTGGCGACGGAAGCTCATTCATGCTAATCTCTCTCCCTAATCCCTCTCTCCCTAATCTCCCCCATGAACACAACTGACGTGCTTTGGTCCGTGGATTGAATTCCTTTTCAGCTCAGACCCCGCTTGCTTGCCCATCACCACATATATAACCTCTTGTTGTAACTGCTCTCTCACTGGTTCAGCAGTTCCACTGCTGGATTATATTTTTTTCCGCCTGAGGATAACCGCTTGTGTTGCGATCGAAACGTCGTGATATATTTTGTTTTATACCTATGTGACTTTACCGAAAGAACCAAAGAGTATGGATTCCTGCAGTCACGAAAGCTTCAAATCAAGAATGATGCAGTCACTGTACACATTTTGCTCTTCATTCACACACAGATGGGAGAAAGTCTTTCGGAAGACAGACGTCAGACTGAAATTAAAATCGTTGTCCAGTACTCGGTGGAGTGCTCGGGCAGAGTCAACCAAGGCACTGTGGAGAAATTACACCCACATTAGAGAGGCCTTCGGTGGTATGTGCAATGATGATAATGAGAAAAGAGATACTCGAATTGAGGCCGCTGGACTATGTGCTGAATAGGACAACTTAGAGATGGTGTTCATGGCACATTTCTGGGGCGTCATACTTGACCGGTTCCACGCTACAAGCATGCACCTACAGGAAAGTGACATTGACATCTCTGTCGCAGCACAGCTTTTGTCTTCATTGAGGGATTTTGTGGCGGGACAGCGAGACCAGTTTGAGGCTTTTGAAAGAGCAGCCTTAAATGTGACAGGTGTCTCTCAGTCATATAAGCACGATCTTCAGCGGAAGAGGAAACGCAAAACATTTGCAGATGAGAGCTCAGAGCCAGGTGTGACACTTGAGGGGAGGGAGAAGTTAAAAATAGATACATTTTATGTGGTCATTGATAAACTAGTGGCATGCCTTGAACATCACTTGGACGCTTACAAGCATTTGACCAGTCTCTTTGGAGTTCTGTTTATGTCAGATCAGGTGTCTAACAGTGATGTCATAGTGGAAAAGGTAAATGCACTCTTCGCTGCATATCCATCAGACCTGGACATGAACTTTGCCAACGAACTCATCCAATTCTAGTCTTTCATGTCTGACTATGAGGGTGAGAAGGGCCAAACTAAATTCTTGAGACATTGCAGGCACTTAATCTGCAGTCAGTGCTCCCCAATGTTTTCGTGGCACTTCAGATTTTTCTAATTTTGCCAGTGACAAACTGCCAGGGTGAGTGGCAGAATAAAAAATGAGCTTCGGAGTCGCATGTGCCAAACACGTCTCAGCTCATTGTCACTAATGTCAATAGAGTCAGACCTTGTCAGACAGCTAGATTTTGACGATCTAGTGGATGATTTTGCGAGGAGGAAGGCAAGAAAGACACCAATATAGGAAAGCGGGGGGGGGGGGGGGCTCCAAAAGACATGTGCCCAGGGGCCTCACGGGACCATGATCCGGCCCTAATCTTATTTTCCAGGTCTTTTGTTAAAGTGAAGCTTTTTGAGGCTCAAATACCATCCCAACACTAATGTTGACCTCTCTCCTCTGTAAAAACGGATCATAAGTCTGTTTTACATTTTGGTTTACATTTTGACAACTATATGACTCCTTGAACAGGCACAACTGTTTTCAATTGCATGGATGGAATGGGGGGGGGGGGTGTGTTTTGTGAACATGGTAGACTGCTGACAGAACATCATCATTAAAAACAAACTTTTCATGCACAGAATGCAATACATTAAATGGAGACTTTACTGGCAATCCTGTTTCCCATCTTTCTATGCCCCGCTTTTCATAACTGGCTTGGCTTATGTTGACAGTGTGTACGTGCATCTGATGTAGCAGGCCCACACATTGCCTCAATAAAAATAAATATAAGAAAACAAATGTTGAGGCTTTACCCACTCATGTATTTGCAATTTCAAATGTACTTGTACTTGTCATTCAAATCATCTCAAGAAGTAACAAACGCCATCAGTGTGTACGTGAATATGTAGTTTGCTTAACCTCTCTTCCTGCCAAAGTAGCGCAAATGACTTTGCACTCGTTAATACGTGAGGCCCATAGTCTAGCTGGGAGACATATCATTAAAAAACAACATGTTCTGGTCATTGATCTTGTGGGTGGCATATAAGTCACTGAAATATTTGGAACAGACAAGAGCAAGCATTACTCATTCAAGAGCCATTAAAAGTCTCAATAGATAAGGCAGCAGCCAAGAATACTCTCTAGTCCATTTCTGTTTGTCTTTACAAATAATGGCTGCTCACAATTGTTCCTTAATTTTGAGTGCAACATTTGAGGATTCAATTTAAAACAATATTAAAACAATCAGCTTCATCAATTATGGCCAATCACCTGATAAAGCTGGTTATAATCACCAGTGAAACGTCATACTCAAATTTTAAATGTTGTGGGTTTACTCTCCAACAAACTGGTATGCTGAAGTAGCAACTAACTGGCACGTTTTTATTTACGTGACAAACCTTACTAATTGCCTGTGTAGGATGGTGGTGGGTTAACGACACATTTATATTTGCGCGATCTAACCCCAATTTTTTTTTAATAATGGATAATATTGGTCGGAGAAAGCCCACGCGTTAAACTAAATAGTAAACCATATACGTGTATGTTGTCACGTGCAGCTGCCATGGAGAAGTACGAGAACTTGGGCCTGGTTGGCGAAGGCAGCTACGGCATCGTGCTCAAGTGCCGCCACCGCGACACGGGCCAACTCGTAGCCATCAAGAAGTTCCTGGACAGCGAGGACCATAAATCTGTGCGCAAGATCGCTGCACGAGAGATCAAGATGCTCAAGGTGAGATTCTGTTGGCAAGAAGAAAGGCGACATGCAGAGATGCACGTTTCCAATGATGGTCAGTGTGCAAAGCTGGCATCGTTTAAATCGTCATTAGCACTCTAGATGAATAAGTTTATTTATTAAAACTAAGTTACCAGGGAAGACTGAGCTATATAGCCCTTTTTCAGAAGTGAACTGGTGGCAAATGATAGCTCGACGAAGTGGCTTATCATGTGGAAATTTATAGCAGCCAAATACTCAAAACGCATGTTTCGAAATGTGGAGGGAAACCCCACACGACCACGGGGAGAACAATCAAACTGCTAATATATAGCAGGCGTTAGGGTCGGGATCGAACCCACGCTCTCCTGTATACCAGGCATGGGAGTTAACATCTCGCCACCGCAATGGTTGATTGGATGTCGTTTAATTTATTGTTTGATTTGCTGTGCAATTTACTCGTGGTTAAGTGATGGATTTGCTCTCCGACTGTGTGACTGATCGGGCGCGCAGCAACTGCGCCACGAGAACCTGGTGAACCTGCTGGAGGTTTTCCGCCGCAAGCGCCGCCTCTACCTGGTGTTTGAGTTTGTGGACCACACGGTGCTGGACGAGTTGGAGCGCCACCCGCGCGGCCTGCCCACTGCCCGCGTGCGCCCGTGCCTGCTGCAGGTGCTGCGGGCCGTGGGCTTCTGCCACTCGCACAACGTGAGTACGTGTGCGTGCGTGCGTGCGAGCATGTGTGCGTGCGTGTGTGTGTTGGTGCTCACTAACAGCACTTGCCCCAATAGTCGGTTAAGGCTATACAGGGGATATTTGTCTCTTTGTGTGGGGGAGTGGTGGCGCAGCGGTTAATGCGCTTCGCTACGAAACCAGAGACACGAGTTCAATTCTCGCTCATGGCCAACACCAGTAACGTTTTTCTTAACTTGTCCTGGGCACCCCCTAGATCGACTCAGCTTTAAATGAGTACCTGGTGCGATGTGTAAACATCGCCACTCAAGAGACAAAGGCGGCCGGGCGTGGGGCTGGCCACCCACTCCCTCGTGTGACATGCTGGCACTCATAGGTACTCAACAGTGCCTGCCCCAAATGTTTGTTAAGGCTATATGGGGGATATTTGTCTTTGTAGAGAGCCCAGGTGGTACATCTGCCAGTCAGTCAACCCATTACACCTGGGTCTGTCCCGTAACATCCTGCCTGCGAGCCTTTGACGCTCCACGTCGTCTTAAAGTGCTCCTAGCCTGGCACAAGTGTTGTGTGGTAGAAAGGACGCTGAAGCCGGTCGTGTAGGGGCTGACGCCAAACTGTTTATTCAGGGCTTACGCCTAACTCGGGGGAAGGGGTTAACACAAGAGTTCTTAACTAATCTCCCCAGGGGAAGGGTACTGGGAGTTCCCTACACCCCACCAGGCTATCAGGCTCTTCCCACAGCACTGATCGAGGGTTCAGCCAACTCGGCCAGCCGGGTAAAGCAGCCCCCCTTTAGCCTGGCTCTCAACCCTCTATCCTGGAGCCCCCTACTCCCCTAATGCTCACTCCTCTGACTCACGGCGAAGACCCCGTCTCCGTCCCGTGTCTTCCCTCAAATACCCCGGGGGGGCATGACGTCACTTTACCCTGACGGCATTCCCCCCGAGGCGAGTGTGACCTGACGTCAGCACTCCAAGCATTGTGTTGACATCACCACCACTTCGGGGGGGGGGGGGGGGCTGTTGCTGTGGGGAGCGGTTGTGTAATGGCTAGTAGCTTAGCGCGCCGCTGTGCTACGATTCCCACTCACGGCTAACATCAGTGGTGAATATATTAACCAGTCCTGGGCATCGCCTAGGTCGACTCAGCCTTAAATGAGTACCTGGTGAGGTATGTCAACATCAGCACGAGGGAGAGGAAGGTGGCCACTGTGGTGCTGGCCACAGCACCCTCTTGTGTGTCGTGCCAGCCTTGATAGGTGCTCCCTAACACCACTTTCTTTAACAGCCCATGTAAGTTATGCGGGGATCTTTGCCTGTGTGGGATCTTTGTGAGGCGTGGTGTCAGCGGCTGTGTGTGTAAAGGTGTGTGACTGATATTAATACAGAAATAGGCAGCTCCCTTTCAGCAATAGCAACAAGGTGGTGCACCGATACTTCAACAAAAGGTAGACAATCAGGTGGGCGAAGCACAGTTCCCCAGGACTGCTCACCCCATGGGACTCCAGTGGGGATGAACACTGCCTCATGCTCGTGCAAGCATGGAGACACTTGGGATATGTTCACACCGTGATGAAATGGTTGAAATGCATACTTTTGACAATTTTCTCCATTATTGATTATAGAAACATTAGAAAACCTTGCCAATAATTAAAAGCCAAAATGTATACCCTTTTAAATGTACATATTTGGTATTTTCACGATGAAACTGGCACATAGTGGCTCACTCGTCATCAATTTATCAATTTCCTTCATGTTTTCCCCCCTCTGTATCAGTGTTTATATGTATATTGTCTCTAGCTGCCTGTATATCTGTCTACCGGCTCCGTTTACTATTTGTATGTCTGCTTGTCTCCCTTTCTCTGTGTCTTTCTGTCTGTCTGCCTCTTTGTCTGCCTGCCTACCTGTGTGTAGCGTGCCTTTTCTCTCTGTCTTCCTCTTTATCTGCCTCTCTGTGTGTATGCTGTTTGTTGAACACTCATGCCATCCTCCTCCCTTGCTATCAGATCATCCACCGTGACATCAAGCCGGAGAAAATCCTCATGTCTGTGCGTATGCTGTTTGACACTCATTCCATCCTCCCTTGCTATCAGATCATCCACCGTGACATCAAGCCGGAGAACATCCTCATGTCGCGCTCAGGCATTGTCAAGCTGTGCGACTTTGGGTTTGCACGTGCGCTTGCGGGCTCGAGCGAGCCCTATACAGACTACGTGGCCACGCGCTGGTACCGCGCGCCGGAGCTACTTGTCGGAGACACCAAGTACGGCCGGTGAGCATCACGACACCACCCACAGGACCCCCCTCGATCGCCCCGCGATGCACTGGGACGTGTGTTTGTACGTTGTTTATAGTGGGTAGCAGTGGCATCGTGGTTATCTCACTACAATACAAACTCGGCAACGTGAGCGAGGTCAATTCACAGCCGTTGCTAACACCAGTGGTGAGTGATATCAGAACTGGTCGTGGGCCTCACCTAGGTTGACTCAGCCTGTATCTGGTGTGGTGGGAACACATCAGCACTGAGGAGACGTAGGGAGTTTATGTTGTGGCTGGCCAGACTACCTCGTGTACCATGCCAGCCTCAATAGGTGCTCACTAACAGTACCTGTCCCAACAATCAGTTTAAGGTTATGGGGGGATCTTTCTCTTTGTTGTGTTATTTGTGTGGCAGTGGTGGTGTAGTGGTTCATGAACTGTACTGCGATCTCGGTGACCTGAGTTTGATTCACAGCCAAGAATAACATCAATATCTGAACTCTTTGGTTCTTTCGATAAAGTCACATAGTTATAACTTTACCGAAAGAACCAAAGAGTATGGATTCCTGCAGTCACGAAAGCTTAAAATCAAGATTAAATCAATATCTGAATTTGTTATTTGAATTCCTCCTGGGCGTCCCCTTCATTGACTCAGCTTAAACTAAGTGGTGCAGTGTCAACATCAGTACTGAGAAAACAAAGTTTTTATTTATTTATTCCAAGAAGCATCTCAGCACCCCTTCAAGTGCCATTCGAGTATTAATAGGCGCTCGCTAACAGCACTTGGCCCAGCAATCTTTATGACAAACAGGAGACCTTACGACACACAATGAGATGGGTGCCGTATGCATCTCATGTTGGGTAAGTGTTGAATAAGACACGTGTGATGTGTTTGTGTGTGATTGCGTGTTGGTGTTATAGCCATTTCTCCGTGCTCATGAACCACGACGATTGTTGCTTGACTCAATTGGAAGGTTGTCAATTAAAATCCTCGTCATCGGTTCACTCAGCCCATCTTCCCTCCAAGGTCGATAAACGAGTACCATTTTATCGGAATTCAACGGTGGAAGTCCTGTGGAATTTTCACCACTGGCTGAAGGCCACCGGTATAGATGAGCACTGCAGAATGTTACATTGAGGATGGAGACACTTTCGATTTAAAGCTGTTCTGACTGTAGGGATTCATATTCTTGGTTCTTTCGGTAAAGTCACGTAGAAGGGAAATAATAGAATCATAATAAAACAATAATGTCACCTGACATTGACTTCTCCAAGACAGAGGTTCTCTGCAAGCCATCCGGCTACCATGAGAGATTCGTTCATGAGGCTATCCACATATACAAACACAGAGACAATTTCAACCGAGAAGATGGATTCTGGCTTAGCACTCATTGGAAGGATGTGATAAACCATTTCGGGTCTTGATTGATTGTGTTCACGGTTACGGTGACTTTTCCATTCTCCTTCTCTCCCCCCTCCTCTTTTCCGAGCATAGATGGACTCGTTCGTCTGAACCGCCGATAGTCGCTGTCCGTGGTGCTAACGTTAAGAAAAAAACGCCACTTTTTAAATCCTTTATATTAAGTTAGCTTGCTTGCGTGCTTGCGTGCTTGCTTGCTTCCTTACGACCGTGCAAATCTTTCGGTCGTTTTTTAACCCACTTCCCGTGATCCAATCGAGCTGACATTTTGCACACAGACTCGTTGTGCGAGACAATTAATGTTCGTGAAAAAATAAATTCCAAAATTTTACACTGTTTAGGGAAAACAAATTAAATATTTAATTACCAATTGCTTAATACTGGCAGACAATCATCTGACCCATAGGTGGCAGCCATCTCAAGCCAGAGGACGAGAGGACTCTAGCCGCCACGCATATAAAGGATTTATAGTGAAAAACTTTGTTTTTACGGGTTATACTTATTTCAAAATAATTTCTTGCTGTGGTTTTCATCACCTGATGATGATTGCTTTGTGCTGCAATCGAAACGTCGTGATAATTTAATTGTTTATTTTTTATTATTTTATTATCTCCCTTCTACGTGACTTTACCGAAAGAACCAAGAATATGGAGACACTTGTCTTTGACAATTTGGGAGACAAAGGTGAACTGGCGTGCATGGTCCAGACCAAACCTTGTTAACATTCACTCTGCGGTCTCTTGTAAATATTTACGAAATTGCTCTATGAAAGGCACTTCTTAACCATTGACTTTTTTTTTTACAGTGAATGGGTTTATTTGTCATATTATTCTGTGTATGGTGTGGCTTCAGGAAAGTTTTGGAAATTTATATTGAAAGTGGCTGCGTGGCAAAATGAACTCATAATTCAAAGGGTACAGAGCCCACTATGTTGAAATCCTGAATTAAATCGGGGCAACCATCCACAATTACAATTTTGTATTCACATGTGTACAGTAATTTTAAGTTCTGAAGCCAATCGCCAAAAGATATTTTCATTAAATACACAAGTCTTTACATATACTTAAACGTAGCCCAGCTCCCAGGACCGAGCTCAGCTCGAATTCATAAACATCAGATTATTAACATGTGGTTAACCACTCTTTTCACAGAGCATGAAGAAGCGTCGTCTAGTGTTGATTACAATATTCCCTTTTAAAAGACTTCACGAAATGTAATCGTGTTTGGCCAATCTATGACACGAATTGATGTTCCCCCTGAATTGAGTAGTTGCGAAAGGATGCTTCACGTCAAGATGTTTTTCTCATAACACTGTTTTTTGGATATAAGATGAAATGAATGTAAATAATCGCCACTAATGTTTGCGTGTGTGTGTGTGAGCGGTATAGGGCAGTGGATGTTTGGGCTGTTGGCTGTGTTGCTGTGGAGATACAGACGGGGGATCCAGTTTTCCCGGGTGACTCTGACATCGACCAGTTGTACCAGATCGTGAAGTGCTTCGGTAGGTGACAAATGGGCACCGCACGTGTTCCTATCAAAAGTACAATAGCAGACGTTTTACAAAGTCTGCGAGAAACCAAAAACTAATTATGCAATCATCATCAGCTATTATCAATTCACTGCTGGGTGAATGTCTCCCCAGGTCGTTGCCATCCCTTAGAGTCTCCACGTGCCAAAATGCGTGTCACTCCTGTACATGACCTAAACTCATCCTCCATCTCACTGGTGGCGGTGGTGGTGGTGGTGCTGGTCGTCATCTCTGGTATTTTCGCCTCTTAGCTATAATTCCATCAGTGGTCTCGTCCATAAGCCGTCTTTTTCATTGAAGTATCCTCTCCAAGCCCACTTTTCTCAAGTCAATGTTGCATATAATTATATATTCGCTGTCCTATCTGTCAATGTCATTTCCAGCATGAAAATCTCCATGCTTATTTGCACAATTTTGAGTTTTTATGATATATTTTCTTTGTCCGTGTCCTCTTTTCTCATCCAGAATGTAAAAAGCAGGTAATATACACCGATGAAAACAGTTTTATTTTGGAACATTGATATGTTGATTTAAATAAAAAAAAATTAAACATCGTTTAAAAGCAGTCCAACCTGCTTTTGCGCACCTCTTCACCTTCAATAATTTCCCTGAGATGCCAGTAGTGTTACGAGGTGGTCAAGGATGATAGAGTGTTCGGTGATGTAGACCGCAGTGGGGAGGTCATGGAGAATTTAGCAATGAGAGGGATGCACAGTCTGAGAAGAGACCATTCATGGCACAGAAAAGTAGTTGAAATTGAAAGACCTATTGACAGATTCGCTTCCCATCATAGACACGTGGCATTTGTATCACAGGCTCAAGGCTACCTACCAATGGAGAAGGCACAACGTGCTCCACATTCGCTTGAGTAGCACTTTGATTGTTAGGGGATTTCACTAAAATCATACACAGGCTGTCCAGCAACAGCGTTCTTCTTGTGCCGACACAGCAGGTTGGGAGTCTCACATCACGTGGTGATCTCTGCTTGATCAACCACTACCACCACAAATTTCTATATCGCAAGCTTGGATCACCATGTCAATACAATATATATTCAGAGCTTACTGTTCATTCAAATAGTGTGAGTCCCTTGACTTGAAAATTGTTGCGTAACTTATTTTCTTGATGCTGCCTGCGTTTATTTTTTTCACGTTGAATTAGACGTGTATCAGTCGATTAGCCAGTTGGTGGTGGGACATGCCTGTAATCCGGCACGGTGGAGGCGAGGGTTGGTGGTTTCCCACAAAAGTTGGAAAACTCCCTTCCCATCGTGTGTCAAGGAGCCTGAGAAGGTAGTACAACAAATTGACCAATCTCCATCTGTTTCCATCTGTATGGAAATCGAGTGTTGCCCCCTTATGTTCGGGTTTTCCCCGGGTGCTGCGGGTTTCAACCCCCCTGTGTAAACACTCATTCATTGGCTGACAACGTCTTAAAAACGCAAGGCAGAACCCTCCTGAAAAAGAGTAATTTGACTCGGCATGACTTCCTGAGTAAAATAAGAACGTGTTTTACCCTTTCTTGTAATGAAACAGGAGGTGCTGAGATGTTCAAACACCAAACAAACACCTATTGCAAGGCATCAAGTCTGTAGTAACCACACGTACTTGTGGTAAAACATGCAGACAAACATGCTCTGATAATATATGGGCATTGTCTTTGAAACTGATTGGCCTACACCAGAGACAGCCTTCTTTATGGCCTCGTCTCAGCAGTGTCAGACCAGAGAACGCCAAAAGACGAACAGCACAAAGTCAATGCAAGTATCAGAACACTTCTAGCTCTGGTCGAGCCAGTATTCCTGGCTAAATAATAATAATACGTATTATTGTTATTTCTGCTACATCTTGAAAGTTGGGTAGTGTATCAGATTCAGGCCATTAATAGTCCAAAAAAATACCCTCACGCTGAAAGGCTCACAGTTGACTGTAAATGTTTGCGCACACGAATTGTGTGAATAGACATTAGTGGCAGCAGGTTATGTTCCAGCACTGGAAGTTTGACTGACGCACTGCTCCCCATGCTGTGAACATTCAGGATACCTGATGCTTCGCCTTGTCAGTCTGACTGGCAGCTGGCTTGTAAATCAAGCGCAACCCAAGATGGGGCAAACTGTGGCCTTTATAACAGCGCAGACAAATTCTATTGTCTGAACATGATAGATATGGTCAGTAGTTCTTACGCAAGTAACCTGCAAGAAGGATCATCGTATCATTGACCTGGCGGCTATAAATCCAGTGCTGCGTTGTTTAGCCAAATTGACCATTTAGAGGTACCTTCTATCTATTCGAGGGGCAGTGAAGTTTATCAATGTCAAATGAAGCGTTGTTCCCAAGGATCCACGTTCCGCTGGAATGTCAAGCACAAGCGTTGATATGCAACCAATTGAGAGCCCGTATTGGGACGAAAGATCTTGAATGCAAATGACAGCTGGAACAAACAGGAACAGTTGATTTACATTGTAAAATGTAAAAGATTACCAGAAAAAGGTGGGGAAAAAAACTATTAATATTTACGAAACGAGTGCAATTATATATTGTTCAGATTCCAATTTATTTAAATAAATAAAATAAATATATCGAAATATTAAAAACAAGTGTATTGACATCATCCAGCACGTTATTTAAAACGTGTTTATTAGACGATTTATTTTATTTGTTTTTATAATGCTTTGACTATTTAACTAATGCATATTGATTTAGACTGTAATAGGTCAGCACAAAAAAGGCTGATGATGGGTTGTCAGAAAACTACTTATGAAAATACACTTTAGTGCAGCTATACCTATGTAGTGACGTAAATGGAGTCACTATGGCGTTTGGCGCCAGCTACCGTCACAAGAGTGGAACTGAGCGTCTTGAGCCTCTCTCTGGCACCAGAGTGGGCTTGGCATGGAAGCGGGCCCTCGGGGGCATGGTTCTGGTGACGGTCAGAGAGAGGGCAAGCAAGGACGTGACAGTCTGGATAAACCCGAGAGGGCACGTGACCGGGACAGGGTAGCGAGGGGGCCCAATGGGTGGCTTGAGGGACACGTGATGCTCGGTCGAGAACCTTCTGGTAAGATCCAGAAGGGGACGTGGCCGAAGGCGGAGCGAGGCCACGCTCGGGAGCATAAAAGGGAAGTCCCGAGAGCAATTGCGGCTGTCTGCTCGAACGGAACCCGTCGGTGCTACGTCTCTTCAATCCTCGGTCCTTGGTCTTTGGTCTTAAGCTCGGCATCGTGGGTCAGGCAGTGTGTTACTGACTGACCCGGTTATGTAGTTACCCCGTTGTGGTCTAGTTAACCTATTGTACGTTTATGTAGTTACCCTGTTGGGGTGTGAGAATAAACGTGTTGCCTTCAAGTCCAAGTGTATGCCTCCGTGAAACCCACTCCACCTAATTCCATCTTCAGTGCAGCTGCACAGTATTTTCGGTGCATTGATAATAATACCATACAATACAATGCTTCCATGCAACCTTAAGGTGGCATGGAAGCACTGATTGCTTTTACATGGCAAATAGCACACTTCCAATGGCTTACAGGAAAATCCCCACAAGGTGGATTCCTTTTGTCAAACGTTGAGATCTAAAACATTTAACATTGGGTTTACATGACTGTTTTTATTTTTTATTTTATTAAAACGGTGTTGAATCAAAGTGTTGTATTTATTCTCATGTAGAGGACTACTTTTATTTTCCCACAATGCAGTGCTGATTGACTCTGGAGGGACTGATGGTCTGAGTTGGTCCCTGATCAGGATTTTAACTTTGCAACCCTGCACTTGTAACACAGGATCACTTTATTTTGGAAAAGCTAATTATAATTAAAATTGTAAAACTGTCATTCAATATTAAAAAAAAATACAAATCAAGTTACATTAAACATTTGTGAGCCATTGCCAACCAGAACTTTGCTTCGAAGCAAGGGTTATGAGTGTATATGAACTACATGTAAACCTGCCGTTTTACTGGACACTTATACATGGGCTATTCATCAAACATCCAAATAAAAAGTGTTTTATTCAATACTTTCCCATCAAAGGCTTGCTTGGGATACTTGGCCAATTCATTTTTTTTATGTTTGTGGGGGAGAAACCTGAGTACCCGAAGAAAACTCGCACATACTAGAGAACAGCTCTCCTACTAAATTATGCAAATGGCCTGTCAGCCTCCGACAGGAATTACTTTGTTGCTCAGAAGGTAGGTGTTTCACAAACATCCTAGCTGTCATCTCTGTGTGATTCACCAATGCCCATATCGAGTATCTGGGTGTATGGCACTGTATCCTAGCACTTGACTTGCAATCTATTGAGAGTGGTCTCAGCCCAACGTCCCTACAATGTCAATAAAATAAGTAAGTCAACATTGGTTGGACTGCGATTTTTACAACCGGCTTATGGCTTACATCTCCTGATGATATTCAGCCCCGTCGCATTACTCATTTAAGCAGGGGACACTTAAATGGACTTTTAACTTCGATTAATCCAAAATAAGGAAAACATGTTAGGCAAGGGGAATCAAAGTCGAGTTTGTTACATGATTAATTACTTTTATTTGTATGCTCAAATGGAGCATGGGGTCCGTGCCGTAGAAATACTGTATTCCCAAGGCAGAGGCCAATTCCATCGTAGAATGACGACTGTGATCGTCCCACAAGCAGGCGCTCTTAATTGCGAGGAGAGCACCCTAAAGATCACGCCTCCCAGTCTGTGGCCACAGTTGGAAATTCAAAATGTCTTGAGCCTGCAACGCGGCCTGATTACAGGTCACACAGGAACCATGTTTCAAGCCACTGGCCCCGAAGTTAAAAACACGCCTGTGTTCCCACAACGTTGGTTACTGATTAGCGACCACCAAGAGTATAAACATATTAACTGAGAGAGGGAATTTTAATAGTGGGTAGAATAGCTGATGGGCATGAGAAGTTAAGTAGTGGCAGAGTGAAGGTGCAAGAGAAAGACTGGAGATGGCCAATTGCAGGCACATTGGAGAGGATGAAGTCGCATCAGAATTTCGTTTTACACTCTTACATTGAATTTTTATTTAAAGCGTTCGTGACTGCAGGGATTCATATTCTTGGTTATTTCGGTAAAGTCACGTAGAAGGGAAATAATAAAGTAATGAAATATATGATTTTATTATTTCCCTTCTACGTGACTTTACCGAAAGAACCAATAATATATATACTCCTACATTGCTTTGGAGACAGGTCAGCAAGTAGGATTCCGACTTTTTTGTTCCTTCCTTACGCTCGTTGGTCTTTTTCACGCACACTCGTGTTTCCCGCAACATGTAAGGATATGCAAGGAACTGACATCCCATGCAGGAACCCCATGAAAATGAGTCCTGAGATCCATTGAGGTTTTCGAGGGTAATTCAAATGTATGACCATTAGTGTAGATGCGACTTATCCCTTCACGATTTGACGAATTTTCATGATCCAGGATCATTAGATGATTTACAAATCCATTTTTGTTTACAGTGGGTACACGGCAGACAATGCATGTGAATAAAATATACTGTAATTGATTCTTAAGCCCACACTTTCATGCATATGTAGTGTTGTACAGACGGACTCTTTGACGTCTTTTAGTAGCACACACTTTTATTTGTGAATACAGCCCCTATGCACTGAGGGGTATACGGTCCCCTCACCCGTTACACTCTGAACGTACAAGCCTACAGGCTACTCATACCCTGCTCCTTCAGTGTCCTCTGACTGGACCTAGGGAGATTTCTCCCTGACCACTGGTTACTCTGAGCCCTAGCCCTTATAAGGGCTGGAGGGCTTGGTCCAGGGTCCTATGCTTCTTCCGCCGTCTTGGGTCTTCGTGTCGTCGAACTCCCCGAGAGCTCTGAGCGTTCTGGCTTTATACTCGTTCGTGGCCGGGTTGTCCAATCCCCGGCCACCTTGTGGAACCCTGTGATTGGTCGTTCCCAATCTGCTTTTCGATCCCAATTCACCCTATCTGACCCTGACCGTTTGGTCGCGCGGGAAAACCTTGTTTACGGTCAGCTCTCACAACTTGTGAGACCCTGACCGTTAGTTTGAGCGGGAAAACCTTGTCAACGATTAGCTCTCCCAGTTTGTGAATATCAAGTGGGTAACTCTACTACACATATTTCATATATCGTGAGCATAAGGATAGCTATTAATCAACAAACTTGATGAATCATTACATACCTAATCGCACACTCATCATTGGCTTCGCAGCAGTTACCGTGAAATTGTATCTCTGCATTTGCAGGAAATCTGATGCCCAGGCATCGTGAGCTTTTCTACAAGAACCCGGTGTTCACGGGGCTCAAGGTGCCCGAAGTCCATGCTGTGGAGCCACTGGAAAAGCGTCTGCCCAGGTTGCCGCCACTGCTGCTCGACCTCATTAAGGTGACGGGCACGTGTTGTGGTGGTGGCACACCGCATTGTCATTTACGATCCGCCTCAGTGAATGCGCCGTCTCCGAGAACTTTACTCCACACCTCCGATCAGCACGGTTGGCTACGTACGGTGCAAAAGAAGTTCAACATACATACAGTTAACACGTAGGCTTTCGCGATCAATATTATTCATAATAAAGTTTTTGGGTTAGATCGCGTTATTTATAAATGTGTCGTAACCCTCCACCACCCGACACGGCCAATCAGCAAAAAAGTGTCACGTTGACAAAAGACAAATAGTTCACTGCTTTAGCCCACCGGTGTGTTAAAGAGTGAATCCACAACATTTGACAGTTTTTGAGTACGACGTTTCGCTGGTAATTACATCCAGCATCATCGGGAAATTCGCCAGAATGGTGAAGCCCTCACTTGCTCTCGTTCTTAAATAGAGCAGCAGCAGGGTGACGTCATCATTTAACTCATCCATACATTCACTCTCTGGGCCAAAGCTGGGCTTAGCTCATTTCCCCACCTTGTCAGCACTGCTCTCCCATTCTGGAACATATGAACAGAATGTCTGTGAACAGTTAGCCAGTTGTTAAGAACGTTATCATTATTTAACTATTAATTAATGCTTAAACATAACATAATTGGGGAACGCCTGGGAATTCCCGAGGAAGAGCTAGAGTCCGTTGCCAGGAAGAGGGAGGTCTGGACCGCCCTTCTCAACACGCCTCCACCGCGACCCTCACCTGGACAAGCGGATTGAGAATTGGACGAATGAACATAACATAATTGATCATTTTGAAATGATTAGAGACATTTTAGTGGTGTTTGCGAGCAGGACATGGAGTTGTTTATCGTCTTCTCCCCACCCACCCAATACCCCCCTCCTCCCCCACAGCTGTCAATGGTGTGCTCCGGACCCGCAAATCTGATGGCAATCCCATGTGGCTGTCGCCTGATGAAGCTCGTTGTAATTACTGGCGAAACGTCTTACTCAGATTGTAAATGTTGTGGCTTGGCTGTACTAGTGACGAATTGGCATGTTCTGTTTACGTGACAACTCTTACTATAGTTGGCTTGTCGGGTGGTGGTGGGTTTTAACGACACATTTATATATTTACGCGATCTAACCCCAAAAAATAAACCTCTAATGGATGATACATTCATTTGAGAAATTACTGCAGGAAATGTAATTACTGTAGTTACAAACTATCTGTGCCCGTGTTATTTAGATACAAATTACCGATGAATTTGGATACCATTTTCAAACGGCATGATGATACATATTGAATTATATAATTAGGTACTACCCATCTCTGCATGTAAACTGGCATGTCAATTATCTTGTGATCACAGCACATGCAGTCATTCTCAGAACACTCCTCTGGTCTCGATATGAAATATCTAGCATTAGCCAATATTAAAATACTTCTTCAACATTTCACATTACATTTTTTGCTGCAGCTGTACATTGTACACACTAGTTATTTGCTGATGTAGTCTTGAGTCGAGGCATGGCCAGGTACAGTGCTGGCATAGCTTTTCTCCTCTGTTACACTTTTAGGATTTGGGGAGAAGGGTGGCTAATATTTGCCCTCAGTTGCGCTGAGGGCAAATAGTCTACACACACACGGGCAGTCAGTGCTCATGACCAAGTCAGTCTCCTATCATTTTCCTCTCCAATGGGCCACTCCAAACATTCTTGTCAAAACCGTCTCTGCGAGAATTATGGGGTCTCCTTCGATGGAGTTATGGTTAAACCACACAATGTTCTTTCCCTGCCGCAGCGCAGGTCATGGTTTGGCAGGATTGTACCAATGGTGGTGAGTTCCAAATGACCACAGTTCTTGCTGCTGTACAAGATACTAGTTTTTTTAATTTTGTGTACTGTACCAAATCTTACTTTAATGTTTGGCTTTTGCAAAAAAATGGCTAATTTGTCGGTTACTCCTGAGATATATGGTATTTTGATTGTTTTAATAATCTGATCACTTTCAGCAGTGTTGCTTTGCGATCGTGATTACAGGTACAGCGGTGGAGGCAGACTCACAGAGGTCGGCCCAAAAGGGGGTCTTGACAAGGGAACCAATCCCTGAAAAAGTGTTGCATCATTATTCACCTTTCTGAGTTGGAGGTGACGGACAGCCGATCCTGACGTCAATTAGGTGGCTTTTATATATCCCATCGAAGCAGGCAGTTCGGGGTAGCGGAGAGATGGATGGTGTCAGCTTAAGGCCTCTGTGACGAGGGTCCTTATTAGAGAGTTGGAAATCTTACAATTAATAAGTATAACCCGTAAAAACAAAGTTTTTCACTCTAAATCCTTTATATGCGTGGCGGCTAGAGTCCTCTCGTCCTCTGGCTTGAGATGGCTGCCACCTATGGGTCAGATGATTGTCTGCCAGTATTAAGCAATTGGTAATTAAATATTTAATTTGTTTTCCCTAAACAGTGTAAAATTTTGGGAAAAAATGTTCACTAACATTAATTGTCTCGCACAACGAGTCTGTGTACAAAATGTCAGCTCGATTGGATCACGGGAAGTTGGTTAAAAAACGACCGAAAGATTTGCACGGTCGTAAGCAAGCAAGCAAGCACGCAAGCAAGCAAGCGAACTTAATATAAAGGATTTAAAAAGGAACCCTACACCAGCCTCTTCTTCTCCGGATCGAAAACAGTGCGTGTGTGAGAGTGGATGGTTACGTGCCTTCCATTCCCGCTCACGGCCAACGGCACTGACGATTATCTGAACCGGTGCTGGGCCTACCCTAGGTCGACTCAGCCTCAAATGAATACCTGGTCTAATGTGTAAACATCGCTAACAGCACCTGCCCCAACAGTCTTGTTAAGGCTATACGGGGGATCTTTGTCGTTTGCGTACGTGTCTCCTTGCAGCAATGCCTCTACATGGATGCCGATACAAGACCTCCTTGCTCTAGGCTCCTTCAGCATGACTACTTCACTGCGGATGGTTTTGCCGACAAGTGAGGTTTCTCAAACCGTACTATGCACCCTTTCACCACTCACCGGGTTGTCAAATCGAAGTAAGTTTACTTCCATTAAAACAAACATAGGGCAGTGATGACCTTCACGGATTGCCCTGAGGTAGTGATGAAAATTCCATCACCAGAGGAATAATGGATGGAGTTGACAACTGAACAGGATTGGGGTTAACAGCCTCTTGATAGTGAGTTAAACACTCTATCCACAGTGGATGTGTATATGTTTATACAATTCTACCCATATTAAGAATAATAAGTGCAGTATAGCCTCCTGCCACTGGTTATATAGAACAGCCATCTCTGCAAGCTGAAGGTCCTTTATAAACAGAGCAAGGGCGACAGCCTTGAAGTTTGATAAACAAGTTAATGTTCTTTCTGACCAATGGGAGTTTCGATAAGAACATTATTCTTAACCCATACTTTGTACTCTAAATAAATTAGAAAATGAATATAACTTCCCCGATGCATAATAAAGTAAACGTAAATAATTTATCTTAATGAGTTGTCAGCTGGTATAATAAAGGATGCTAATGAATTAATTATTCATGTGCCAGATATTTGGTCTCCCCTTTCTTCTAAATTCGTGGCAGTGTGAGTTACATTATGTCTGTCCTAAATGTAGCAAGTGTTTTGTTGTGTTTAGTTTTTTGCGTGTGTTTAGTTCGTTGTCCTTCCCCCCGCACCTCCGAATAGCACGGTTGGCTACGTACGGTGCAAAATAAGTTCAACATCCATATCTAAGATTCTCTCAACACCTAGAACTCTGTAATGGACCACAATCTGGGCCCTATCACTCAATAGAGCCCAGCGCAGACAGCAATGTTGTTTATTCATGTCTCCTGGCAGGTTTCTGCTGGAGCTGCTTGAATCCACACAGAAGGACAGGGCAGAGAGCATGCCGGCCGCTAACATGGACGTGGCTATCGAAGACGAGGACTGCTCAAAGGAACCATCTGCTGTGCCTGTCACCGCCATCCAGAGCCCAGCCAAGGTTCCATACTCTTTGGTTCTTTCGGTAAAGTCACGTAGGTGAAAAAATTAATAAGAATAAAAATAGAAATAATCGAATTAAATGACGACGTTTCGGAAGCAACAGAAGCTTCCGTCATCAGGTGGGACAACCACAGTAAGAAACAAAAAATTACTGTATGAGGAAAGTTAGCGACTCGATTAGCTGTGATTTCTTGTCCCGTTGTCTATTAAAAGCTCTAACAGATAAGTGGAATCCCTCCCCGTAGAGGTGGTTCATTCTAGATTTGAACTTCAGAATTAAACTTCAAATCCAGACTAACCCAGCCAAGGTGTTTGAAGCTCTGCGAATTGGTTGGGGCGATACAAGGGTCCCTGATGCTGGATCACGATTCGTGGTGTGGTGCAATGCAGCGTTGCGACGCTTACCGATGGGTGACACCTGTTTTGCCACTTTAGCCAGCGCTGATGAGAGGCAGGGCGCAAATCCATGCAGCCACTTGTGATTTAGCCAGTTTCTCAAGTGTGGTGAGTTTCATGGTCTCCCACCTTGCACTTAATTTTCAGAGGCTCATCTTCGAGGGCTGACGTGTACAGTTTATGGTATGTCAGATGATCGATATGTAAGGAAACTCTCTTTACAAAAATATTAATGAGTAGTGTTTTATGTTGGGAAAAATATGTACATTTTAGTTACTATAAATCGTTTTCAGGTGTTATCTTCTGGGGTCGTTCAATTACATGATTTGGCATTTTGATCATTTCATGAGTTCCTCAGGGTTATTTTCTCCACGTGGGAATATGGGATCCCAACACCAGGAGACATGAACAGACAACAATAGCTATGCATCTTTATTTTTATCTCTCTCTAAAAGTGCGTCTTCTTTTAATATGCCATTTCACACACATTGTAAATGAGATGCCTTCATCCAACAGTGGAATGATCATGACCGATGATGATTGAGCAAATGATTCCAGATCTTCAGATGGAAGTCCTCTTACAGCATGACAATGCCAAACCACGCACGTGCCTGATAACTTCAAAGGACATTATTATTCCTCAAGATGAACTTTGCTTCCCCATTAACCACCCTCACAATTTCATCTGAATGGCCCTTTGATGGAGAGCTCACATGGACAACATTTTGGAAATAACTCTGCTGTACAGGATGCTGGTCATAAATGATTACCTGATGCTGATTATTAATTAAAAAAACAGGCCATTTATATAATTCGAGGTTGCTATAATAGTGTGCTTTATCGTCATGCTTCCATGCAAGATAATACATTTTTTCTTACTGACAAAACTGACTAAAAAATCACGTCTGACCATTTGATATTTATCTACAAAATAACTGCTTGTTTTCTTGGGTTGTGTCTCATTTTGACACGGGTTTCTGTCTCCAGGACCTGGAGCGGAGTAGCAAAGATATAAAGGAGGGCCTGGCGGAGAAGAGGGATCCGGCTATCGACAGCAAAGCGAAGCTGCCCAAGTTTGGCTCTGAGAGCAGCTGCAGTCCAGCAGCAAACAGTAAACCACCGCCGCTGCTGCCCGTTCTGCCACCCGTGCAGTTCTACGGCACGACTCCTCGACCGCCCTCCCCAGACCACGGCAGTGACGGCACCAGCAAAGGAGCCACGCTCGTGACAGAATCGGCGGCGGCTGTGGTGACGGCAGCGCGGGCCAACGCGGGCAAGAAACCGGGAAGGCAGGAGGGCAAGGAGGGTGTTGGCGGCAGCAGGCAGAGTGGTGGGCACGCGGCGGCGAGCAAGCCGGCCCTCGCCCCCACGAGGCTGGCGCAACAGGGCAGGGAAGGGACGCACAACAGGGACACATCGCAGAGCAGGGAAACGATGATGAACAAGCAAGTGCTGCTAAGCAAAGACACGGAACAGAGTCAGGTGTTGTTAACACTTGCACGCACGTGCACACACTGAGTTGTTTGGTTTGGAATGGCCTCTAGTGGATGGCGGGGTTACCACGAAGCCAATTCGCATGGAGAAGGTGGCTTCATTTCGACTGTAGATGTTTGGTTATTGCATGTGGTTATTTATGAAAGTACTGTAACGGAAACCTCAAAGACCCTGTGCTGTAACGGGTTTTTTCAGATTAACCATTATGGTATATTCTGGCTAAAATCCATAATTTGGTCGTTGGCAACTATAGTGAATTGACGAAAATGTGTATGTTTATAACCACAAAGTGTAACTCAAGCAAATGCTTTGGTATATAAGCACAGACCAAAGAACCCCCTTACAACTCTTATCATTTACAGTGTTGGTAAATGAATTATGATTATTGTGAGTTACTTTCCTGTATTTAATGCAATTGTATATTTGTCTTCATTACAAATTATGATGCATGACCATATGTATTCCATTTCATATGACCAGATAAATGAGCATTGCTTATTTAATTTTTTTACATTTGAGAGAAGATAAAATATCTTCATGACAGGTTTGTTTAAACCATTCTAGGTTGAAATGAAAGGTTGCCAGGAGTTACCCAAGCTAAATCTAAACATAATTAACTTGCCTTTTGCCCGTCCAAGGACGGGTGTGTTGCAGTAAATCTGAAACTTGCAAGCGAAAAGCAGACCGCGACGTGATCGTCATTGCATCCATTCGTGTGCAATTTGTAAGGGCGCGGTGACACAGACTTATTTCATTTCAAGGTTATAATCCCTTGTTCATCATGACGTCCTTTTTACTCTGATGTCTCAGTAGCGTTACGGAGATCGCGTGACGTGAGGGTTCTGCCTTTGTAGTGAGGGTTGTAAGTTGACGCCGAGGAGGGGGGAGGAGGCGCCTCGCTCCCCCCCCCCATGTGGAGTGACGTCAGCCGCTAATTATTATGAATGGGGGGGGGGGGTGTCTATTTGGAGGACGTCACCTGCTCATTATTATTAATGAGGGGGGCTGTTCGTTGTTGAGTGACGTCACTTGCGCATTATTATTAGTGAGGGGGGTGGAGTACTCCATATTGAGTGACATCACCTGCTCATGATTATTAATGAGGGGGCTGGTCGACGTGGAGTGACGTCACGAGCGTTGCACACAGACATTCTTGGCTCATTATAGTCGGTAATTATAATAGGGGGGGTTGTCTATGTGGAGGACGTCACCTGCTCAATAATATTAATGAGGGGGGCTGGTCGATGTCAAGTGACGTCACGAGCGTTAAGGACAGACATTCCTGGGTGATTATAGTAGTCACCTGATGATGATTGCTTGTGTTGCAATCGAAACGTCGTGAGTTATTTATATATATTTTTTTCACCTACGTGACTTTACCGAAAGAACCAAAGAGTATGGATCCTTGCAGTCACGAAAACTTCAAATCTAGAATGATTATAGTAGGTATGGTTATTCGGATTATGTCGAATGGTTCAGGACTCTAGTCAAACTTAAGAGATGAATCATAACGTCTAAGAGTAGTAAGACTAAATATACACCAGAAATACTTGAATAGTCACTGTCATGATGCTCACTTCCTCTTTAAATGAATGCCAGAGCCAGGTTACAGCAGTGGAGGAGATGAGTAAGGAAGTTGGCATCTCTTTGGTGACTGGGAATGGGAGCCCTGCGCTAAGCCATCCTCCAGCCGTGTGCCAGGACAGTCCAGACACCGGCAAAGCAGAAGAAGACACCTCCAAGGTATGTTACTGGCTTGTGGCTAAACCCACTACATAGACCAACTTCCATTGCGATAGAATTAGACGTTTGCCTCCAGGAGCTTTTAACCCATTATTTTTTCTACATGCACGATATTCTCTTTGGTCTTGCAATGCTATGTCAATGAAAATGTGGTTTATCTGTATTATGGGACCTTTGGTGAGAGATTGAGATCATAAAGAACAACAATAATGGTGATGATGACATTTTCCATTAAATAGTTTAAAATATATGTAATATTTGTTGTTATCAATGATTCCCATATTTCTATATAGGTATGTAAGCTGAACACCAGCAGCTAATCAGTTTCTGAACCTAGCCTGGGGCCCCCCTAGGTTGATTGTGCCTCAAGTGAGAACCTGTCACGGTATGGTCATGAACATCATTGCTTGCAATAAAACTGCAGTTGTGTGCGTGCGTGTTACTCGCCTCACTACCCTCTCGTGTGCTGTGCCCCCCTCTTATTAGCTGCTCTTACTGTACTGTCGATGAAAATACAAAGATTCCACATTTTTCTATGTTGGTTGTTGGGGTAAAGGGCCGTCCATAAATGACGTCACGCACCTAGGGGGGGGGGGGGGTCAGATATTTGTGACGATGTGTGACAAGGGGGGGGGGGGGTTGAGAAATGTGACATCACATCAAAATGTGCAACTTTAAATAAATAGACTTTTGAATAAATGTCTTGTGCTACAACATCAGAGTGCAGCGCCACATTAAATACGCACTACAATGACAATAGTTTAAAGCGATTTGAAGCATGTTTTATTTTGGGGGGGGGGGGGGGGTGGCAGAGCTTTGTGACGTCATATTTGAGGGGGGGGGGGGTCTGACTTTTTGTGAAGCCGTGTGACGAGGGGGGGGGGGTCAAAAATCGTCCAAAATCCCGTGACGTCATTTATGGACGGCCCCGAATTGTAGTGAACAATTACCCATTAAGGTTGCTAAATCATTCCGTGAGGGGTGGTGTAGGTGGCATCAAATGTGGCTGCCTTTGTATCCCCCAGTGTTAACGCCCACGTCCCGTTTTAAACTGAACCAAGGGCAGGTGCCGGTCATGTTCAGGTACCACTTGCCGACCGAAGCGCATGACCTGTGATTTTCACTCGGACCGCCAGGATCACAACGCAATGCTCACAACACTCAGTGCACACCGACGGAGGCCTTGCACTGCGGCACCGTGGGACTCTGGCCGATGTTGTTGTTGCTTCCTGACACACAGCGGGAGCGCGATGGTGGGGAGACCGGCGGAGCGAGGCCGGACGCGATGTCTCGGCACACGAGCCTCGTGCTAGCTCGGCTTGGCATGACCACCGCCACCGACGTCACAACGGGGGCGTCCGCATTCAGGTGCCGCCCTCCATCACAACCACAGGCTGTGGTTGCTTTAGGTCAGCGGTGGACAATACACCAAAGCGCTGTGGGCCATTCTGGTGGACCTCAATGGGCTTTGCGGTCCACCAGAAAGGTATGACCAATTATTTTCTTGATTTAACCTTGTATTTCAAGGCCGTAATTATAATATATATTGGCGGGACACACACAAAATGCCCCCCCCCCCCCCAATATATTGCTATAAAATAGATTTATGTTTTTATGATTGTGGTTATGGTTGTACTTTATTAATCCATAATCTTTGCCAGTACATACAATGAAACAAGAAAAGGTAAAAAAGAAAAAACAGAGCAATGTAATATTCAACATTATTGTAATAAATAAATAAAAGTCTATTCTATGTGTTAGTGCATTTTGTAATATTTACGGCAGGAAATTAGTTTAAAATTTTCAAAAACATTTGGGTTGGGACCCCCAGACCCCTGGAAGATTTGGTCCCCCCCAATGTTGACTCCATGGCTACGGCCTTGTTGTATTCTACTCCAGAGAAAAAGTACTAGCGCCATCTATTGGTAGGTTTTCTACTTTTTTATGTATCCGTTGATTTTACTTGCCATCAGCTTTAACGAAAATTGTTGCGATTATGTTCGCCTTCTGATTTTTCCCGAGATTTACTCAAAAATATTTTGCCATCTACCCGTGGATCACGTTCCACTGAGTTGTGTATGTCTGTTTGGTTACAGTTTTTGTATCATTGAGGGGAAGCCTTTATCCAGAAGTAGGCTGACAAAGGAACTGTGCGTAAGGGAGGAAGTGCTTGAGCAGGTTCGGAAGGAGAGGTGTCAAGATGGGCAAAACAAATCTCGAGTGTGCATCTTGTCAGAGGGAAAGGCTTGCTGAAAGGATGCTCTAGAATAAATTATGTTTGGGGGGAAAGGGCAGGAGGTTGAAGAAGGAAGTTGCTGCTCGATTAGCGAAATAAGTATGCCACAACGAAGAGGAAAGTACGAGGTTCAAGACGACGGATTGGACTCGACCAAGACCTTAGCCTTAGGCAGAAAACTCGAGTGGGAAAGAGAGAGTTGTATCTTCATTGAATTCTGTGGCATCAGATGCACCACAAAATGTGTCCATTGGGTTCTATATTCTCAGCTCACTGGGTAAGTTGTATTCGATTTAAAGCTTTCGTGACTGCAGGGATTCATATTATTGGTTCTTTCGGTAACGTCACGTAGAAGGGAAATAATAAAATAATAAAAATAAAACAATACAATTCTCAATAAAAATTGTCTTGTTGTAGCTTTTACACCTGATGATGATTGCTTGTGTTGCAATCGAAACGTCGTGAGAATTTTATTGTTTTATTTGTATTATTTCCCTTCTACGTAACTTTACTGAAAGAACCAAGAAAATGGGTGAGTTGAGTTGATTATATTCTACAGCTCAATTTGATTCAAGGTGTTTTAGATCTATTTACTTCTAAGGCCCCAAGAGCAAAGAGTGAGCTATCTCCATTGGGAGCTATGGTTTCACGGAACCTGTCGTTCCAGATGTACAGGATTAATTGTATTAATTTACTTCTATAATACTAAATTAAGTTCCATGTCCAACATGTAAATGATCTCGATTGAGCATTTCAGTTGTACAGGTCCTAAATTAAGTTTTAGTTTTATGCTTATAGTTTAAACGTGCAAGTGTATTCTGTTTAACCACAAGGGAACTCAAGAGACCAGGCTAGTCTCATTTGAGTGACCTGGTGCATGAGTTTGCCAGTAGAGGGCCATAATTGCTGTGTATAATCCCAATTGAGTGGTTTGTGCGTACTTTTCGAATTTGCCTGCGCACAATGGCCTACTCTTGCAAACGTAGATGAAGTCATTGTTGCTGTTGGATTAATTAGATGTAGGCCTTTTGTTACAACAGGATTCTCAGCCGCTTATTCTATAACCTTACGTCACCATGGGCACTATTGTAGCAATGTGCTTTTCATGAGCAGTATTAATCACCCAAAATATGTAAAACATTGCCATTTTTAAAATAAATTAGAAATAAGCAAATGCACCTTTATGCATACCCAATGGGGCGCCACAGTGTCGAGTTGTTATTAACTACCTCGCCTTGTATACAGGAGGTCGTGTGTTCGATCCTGACCATGACACCTGTACATTTGCATGTTCTCCCCGTGGCCACGTGCATTTTCTCCGGGTCCTATGTTTGTCTCCACATTTATAAACATTTGGCTGTTATACATTTCCACATTCTAAGCTCTTTCGTCGAGCTATCATTTGTGGCCAGGTCGCTTCTGAATAAGAGCTACATAGCTCAGTGGGCCATAGCTGGTAAAATACAAATATTAGTTTCGTTTAGTACTTCTATAAGCGCATGGGTATGAGCGACACAAATATTCAATAAGTAACCTTCGTGAATACGGTTAAAGCAAATGTGTTCCTCTTTCATCAGGACATCTGAACGATTAAGAAAAACGAGCAATGCCTTCAAGAAGCCACCGCAGGCTGCCCTCCTCGCCCCCCGCCAGTGTGCGCTGGGCCAGGTCTGTGAAGCCTTCACTTCGGTTTATGGATTCGTTATCATAATCTTAACAAATCCAATCAGAAAAATCCATCAAATTATACGTACTAAGTAACAGTATTCTCATTAATTACCAAAACAAATACTTATATATTTACCAAAATAAATATTTAAAGTGTCTTCTTGCTCAAATGAGTATTAAGGCAAGTACTAATCTTAACCATTTCCCATTTGGATGATGTATGTGCACGTCATCAGTTTTTATTCCATACACGTAGTTCATAGGAACGGAACCAGAAGAAAAACTAAAATAAAATAACTTTATCGGTAACGAGGCTCCCACAAGGCGACGCAGGAAGGCGTGTGGCACAGTTTGGTGCCAGCTATCATAGAGTGCGGTCGTGTCGCTACGGTTCTCTGCGGTGAGTAACAATGTCTTTAAAAACAGTGGCGCTATGCCTCTCTAAATAAAGTTAACGCTGAACCGCTTACACAATCCGATATTCAGTGGTGACCGGGACCCATCCTCGGAACGGTAATGGGCTAATTAGTGACCCTGAAGTGGTGTCATTGCCACATCATTATGGTGTGGGCCAGTCCATCCATGGGATAACCACGGCTGACGTCCTACAAAGTGGTTCTCATGTTAATGACGTCACAGAAATGATGAGCCCAATTGACCCCCGACCAAGGTTTGAACTTTTAACCCTTCGAGTGCTCATGGAACGGTCTCCCAACAGCAAGAATGAGTAACGCGTCGCTCGCGCTTGCCGATGTGTGCAGATCAGCTTGCAGGAGAAGACGGCGCAGTTCGATCACATGACCAACCTGCGCAAGCGGAAGGATGGCGTGCGTGCCGAGCGGAGGGAACTGCACCTCCCCGAGCTCAGCCTGCCGGCGCCCAGCCTCGATCCTCGCCCCGTTGACCCGGGTAATGGTCGCACAGTCCCGTACGGAACAAGCTGAGAAGTGGCTGGGTTTTTGCCCTCTCATCGCTCAAACACTGCCTATATTTCAAGATCTAACGAGTCTTGGCACATTCTGGGTGGTTTGCTCAAAGGTTATGATGATTCTTCTGAGATAATTTATAAGCAGCCCATTAATACTAGATTTGAAGCTTTCGTGACTGCAAGGATTCATACTCTTAGGTTTTTTTGGTAAAGTCACGTAGGTAGAAAATAAAAATAAAATTAATAAAAGTAAAATAAAAATCACGACGTTTCGGAGGCAACACAGGTGGAACCGTCACAGTACGCTTGCTGTATCAAGTAAATGAGAAATTCCAAGAGACCCGACCTTGTATATATACTGATTGAGGGGGGAGGAGCCAGGGTAGGCCCCTGGATAGGAATTTTTTTTATTATTATAAGGTTGGTGCGGCTGAAGCTACGGCTAGTCTACATAACAGTATAACAGTACTTTTATTAATTTTAATTTAATTTTTATTTTTTACCTACGTGACTTTACCGAAAAAACCTAAGAGTATGTAAGCCCATTAATAACCATTGCAGCATTTGGCATTATGATACTAATTGCTGCACGTGAATCCATAAGGCAAGTATTAAGTTAAAGTAGCAGAATCGCGATAACTTATAGTATGGCTTTCCTGAAATCATGACATGTGGTTCACATAAACCATAATCACTTCTACGTTCTAAGGATGTGATGTCTGCGTCAATCCACCAAGGCAGCATTCCAATGAACGGGCGAACGTGTGCCTCAGCTCGCTAGCTTCAGTGGTCAGCGTGCTCACGAGGATGCGTAGAATCCACAGTGCCGCATCTACACCTGCCACTAATGTTACAGGGAGTTACCAAAGGGGCCGTCCATAAATGACGTCACGCGACTTTGGACGATTTTTGACCCCCCCCCCTTCGTCACACGGCGTCACAAAAAGACCCCCCCCCCTCAAATATGACGTCATAAATGTCTGACCCCCCCCCCCTAGGTGCGTGACGTCATTTATGGACGGCCCCAAAGTGCACCATACGGTGTAGGTCGTAGACCACTTTGATTGAATTGACAAGAGTTGTATGCTGGCATCATGGTTAAAGTCATGCACGTATCTAAATATAAACTGTGAGTAGTTAGTTAATAACTCCTTGCATAACTTTTATTTCCAGAGTCTGACTCCCTGGTTACACCTGTATCTCAAGGGGCTCTCACGTGATTAAATGAAATACATTTGATGAATGCCTTGCAGCGGATGTTGAAACCAAACCAACGTAACAGTGTTTTGTGAGCGGGTTGGTGTATTTTGGCAGGCTCGATACACAAATGGATTCGTGAGGCTTGTGATGATGACAAATCCTCCAGAATCTTGAGCTACTGTCTTCACATACAGGGAAGCAAAAGCAGCTGAAGAGAGAGCCAGGCATGCGCTCACTTGATTCCAAGATTCCTGTCATCACCGCCACGGATATTAGCCCTGGCAAGCAGAGCCATCAGGTAATACTTATAGCATACACGCTCATGATGAGCAAAACAGGTCATGTATAACAAGTTCACCAAACTATCGGACACATCTGTCGGAGGGGGACACGTCTGGAGAACAGCCAGAATGTGTAACTGGGAGAGCTATTGAAGGTGGACAGAAATAAAAGATGAAACGGGGGTGAACGAGGGCAGGACGGAGTGCTTTTAGAACGATGAATTTGATAGTGGAGTGGGCAGCCCAAGGAAAGAAACGTTCCCGAGAGCACATTCATCAAAGGAGATGGAGCGGTGAGTCGGTTCACGTGTGGGTTCGAGGTGGATCATCACATCGCGGCAGCAAGATCGTGAGAGTTGGCGGCAGCTTGGAGATGCCTTTAGCAGTGGATTGGCCATCATGTATTGACCATCATGTATTGATCATGATGATTAGGGGCTCGGGGTAGGGTCGAGTGGTAATAATTAGGGGTTAGCACTTAGGTATAAGGCCTTTTTAGTTTGTTGGAATTGTGGATGAGACCTGCAGATTAAAAGTAGCGTATATGGGAAGTTAGGGGTTATAATGAGCATTTATGGGTTGTAGTTATGGTTTAAAGTCATGTGTATTGGTTAAATATAGAAGTTTTGATTTGAATCTATAACGTCTAAAGTGTGTTGAGCATGAGCGATAAAGGTTTGGGTGTGCCTGTATTTAGTGTCTTGGCTCACGATAGACTACCCGTGTAAGTTTATTTAAGAAATAAAATTCCATTGCCTCTATTTGAGATACACCTCGGTCTTGCTTGGAAAATGTTTTATCACACTATCCCATCTCATTTGGCCATCACCTCTTCAAATGATAGTATGTATATGTAACGATCTAATTGCATGTGCCCAGATTTTAGAGCATTATATTCCCCTTTGCTTTCATGGCCCTGCACGGCACAACTCATCGCAAGTCACTCGTTCACATTCCACCCTTGACTTTGCCATCCCAGGAAAGCCCCGACTCCAACCTGCCCCGCCTGTGAGCTTTGGTCTCCGACTCCGGCGCAAACCCCCCCAGAGAAAATCAGTTCACCGGCGGGCACCTGGCACAAGAAAGTTAAACAATGACGTAACTTGTCTGTACGGTTTCATTTACACACAGTGTACATTGTCTACCCGTGCTTGTGTATGTTATGATGTATAAATTATTAAGTTTTGCACCAACACGCAAGATCGGTAAAGATCTTCGGTAATGACAGGAAGGGGGCAGGAGTGAATTGCACTCTCACGAGGGATTTTCAGCACCTCATAGCTTGCAATTCAATGGTACAGTGCACAATATTATTAATTTAACTCATTATATATATAGTTGAAGTGTCTGGGTGATTTAATTGCTTCAATGCTGGTATCAAGAGCCCCCAGCCAGCAATATATTGAGACGTTTAAAACCCCAGGCCTCTGAGATTAAACCAGTTTATCAAGTGTAGCGAGTTGATGATCTTGACCTGGTCGCTTAATAACTGCAAGAAAATCCACTTTACCACAACAAAAATCATCGTCTCTCCTACATGCGAGCATCAATTTCAGGCAAATTGATTCGACCCACAAAAGAGTGAAATCTTGCGGTTGCGGATAAAATGCTCGATTGAACAGGCACTGCAAGTTTTTTTTCTGTGGTCTCTCGTTTGGCGTCGCGTTCCTCGATACAAAGTTGCCAGAAAGGATGTTTCTGCACCTCGTGCTTTGACTTCGTTATGTCATGGAATGTGGTGTAATCTTCCTGCACTATAGATCGACACGTAGCTAATAAATTAACACATTGCCATTCTTGTCTCCTACCTAAACATATTATATATGCCTGTTTTGATGTCTTCTGATCAGGTGTGATGTTAGCCCTAACTTCATCACAAGGCAGTACTGCTGCCACGTATACTTTGAGCAGGTGCTCAGCAGTTTTGTTGCGTCTATGAATGTAAAGACATGCTCAAACACTGTAATCGTAAATTGTTCACTATTAAATAGACGATGAAAGAAAAAGGTTAAGATGGGCACTTCGATTCTGTCTAATCATGGATATGCTGTCGGTTACATGGATGTTGGACATCCTGTGTCACTCAAGCCAGAAACAAGGTCATAGTCACAAGTCGCGGGGCATATAATGAAGTTAATAGTTTTCATTCACATGATGTGCTGTGAAGAGCCATTGACTGAAACGTTGCCTTTATTTGTTGTTTAAAGGGCCGTGTAATTTATGAATGTATTGAGTTTTGTTTTAAAAGCGTGCTTGTGAACCACTGGCAACTCAGCATCACCAAATAATTTGTATTTCTTCACGTGATTGCATGCCTTACGAATTGTATCGAGTGACCCGATTGAGTAACACACAGAATGTCCCATTTTATATGTAATAAAACCACAGGGTTCGATTACACGCGTGTGAAACATGGCCGATGTGCGTCCTTTATTAACAGTTAAACATGACCCCACCACATCCATACGCCAGGCTGCCCTCTACTCATTGCAAGTGGCATTTTCTAATGATTAATGGAGCCATCGGTAATGCACGAATTTCCAAAGGTGGTCCTGGGCCACTATAAAGTCATCGTTCCAATGGCAAGGATCAGTACATGCTGTACAATTCCCACACACGTGCTCTTTTATTGACCACAGCGACATCCCGGGGTGAGTCACACCTGGGCCGGGATTCGAATTAATATTAACAAAGTCCTATTGCTCCGCTAAATTAGCTAACCTTTGGCCCCTGTAGTTATATGAACACCACACGGTATTTTTCACGATTGCCACACTGATCAAGATGTACTTGACTTACCAAAGTGTAGGAAAAAAAACTACCAACATTTACAAGACACATTGAATGAAATGTGGAATATTTAATATTTGGCAATTTGAATTAAACAGGTATAACGTTGCAATATTTGGCGATCGATCACGAATTTGAACCACAATGCACTTAAGTTGTGGTTCCACATTAAAACACGGCACTATTAGATCATAAAGGACTGTCCCTTTTATACGATTTTAGTAAAACACAATGTTTTGCAGTTACCCAGATTTTAATGTTGAGACACCATAAAGATTCAACAAATTATGGATTCACTGATGTACATGTTAAAGGCATTGTTTACATTGCGATATACAGCAGATGCTCCTGCAGACAACTGCAGATTTGGAGAAGAAAATCCTATTTTACCCGGCCAACTGCAAAGTTGACAGTCCGACTAAGACCTTCACAGATTGAGCAACCCTTAACTTGCAAGTACTTTAAGTGTTCAACTTCACATGTAAAAAAAAAAGTTGGTTTTACTTCTATCAACAATGCATTTGTTTACCCAGTAAAGCCTGACAATTCAAGAATAATATTTGGAATATTCTGTGTAGGATATTTGGCCATTTCTGTTTTAGTGTGTGGGAGGAAACTAGTGTCTGGGAAAAACATTTCCTGGGATGTTTGAAAAGAGCATGTAAACTACACGGCCTTTTGTTGCCCACAACGTAGCCACACAAGTTGGTCTTGAGTTCCAAAGATTTATATTGGCCTCTTGTAACTTTTACCGATGCTTGACGTAGCTTCAAGCAAAACGTCGTGACCAGTTTCTAAATTTGTGTTGATAAGGATGAACAGAGCTGTGAGCAGAAACAATTGGGACGTTCCATCTTTGCAGACGTAACAATTCCATTGTTTGCCTATGTCGGGTGTTGGAGGGTCTTAACGTCACAAATTTGGCCAAATCATTATGCGGCTTAACCCAAAAAACTATCGATCATATTGGCTGAAAAAAACCTGCGCGTTGGATTTTTTTACCGCATGGCAACGAAGTCGCAGGCAGGTGTCAAGGCGTCGCAAAGGTTTGTGGAAACTTTATTTTAAGTACAGCACCACACAAAGTTTTCATGGTCTGCACCTCTACAATTTATCTTAACATCAACTTCGAATCATAATGTAATAACAGCAATCATGACAATTCACATCTGCATTCCTATGACACCTTTTTACTTCTAAAAGGTTGAAGGGAGGCTAGCTCGTTAGCTATCATTGTGAAATTCAAACATCAGCTGCATGTAGTGACAAGCGATGTTTGTTACTCTACCCAGCGCAAGATCTGACTATTACTAGCAACGTTGACACACAAGGCAGGAACTGATAACTAAAGTATAAACGGAGTGATTTATTGACCAGCTCCACTAAAAGTGCCTTTCGAGCCTCCAAAGAACAACTTCATTGTAACAGAACATCTATTTACATATGCAGATGAGGTTTGGATAAATATTTTATTGTCCAATTACAATTAGCAACCACTAAGAATCAAATAGCACTTAAGATGTGATTAAAGGCCAAAGATCCCTTTTTTTTCGAATGGTATAAATTTTACCGTACGTCCCCCTCCTAAATCTTAAGGTCACCCAACTAACTTGTGATTTACCCAGGTTTCACTGGGCACACATATCATACACACAGACATCTGCAATGGCTCACATTCAACTCGCCACTCCAACTAAGGCACTTGGCAATAATCCAGTTTGGTATTATGAAGGGAGGGGGGTTCTCCGACACAATTGATCATTCAGATTGGTTAAACTTGAAAGCAAATCAACAATTTGTTAACTTGCTATCGATTACTATTTACAAAGCATAAACAAAGACATTGCAGTCAAAATAATTTTTGGCACCAGTGGATGGCGCCAGGAGACTGTGGGGCCAGTCTGCTTCAATTCACTTCCCACACACCGCTGGCAACTGGCCCTGCAAAGGAGAAGAGGTAGAACACGGTAAGAAGACATGGTTTTCTTTTAGTCGGCAAATCATTATTTCTGCGGGGCACATTTTCCAATGAGTTTGCGTCGACCCGCATCATGAGTTGCTAGAATTGGCATAACGGAGTCGGCAAACTTAGATTTGGTTTTCTCAAACAACACTCCTCATGCCTCACCGTGGTCCACCGTTCCACATTTCCCCAACCTTCATTCAAAATCAAACCAAGTCGTAACAAGCTGCGTGCGCTTGGGCAAGCGCTCAACAGCAGCACGACGGGCGAGGCAGAAATCGTGGACGCGATTTAAAAGCTCTCACATTTGACACGTGTACACGCAAGAATCTCTCAATTTTAAATCGGTGCTCTATCCATCGTCATAAGGGGCATTAGAAACAACCATCAGGCATGTGTAGCTTGTAACAACTTAATTCATAATTTGAAATGAAACTGGTATATTCAGAAAGACAATCTGGTGGATAACAGAGTTTGAAGAACCCTGCTATTGAAAGAGAGCTTATTTGTTCAATGGGCCTCAGACAACATAAATTGACTTAAGGCATTGAAATGTCCATTAAGCCAAGTCCCTCGCTTCAGACATAGCCTCTTTGCATCGTGATTGGGAATAACCCCAGAAGAGACACTGAAGGGACTGCACCTCCAATATTCCCTGAAGCCTCTCTTACCAAAACCGCACGACTCGACTGTGCTTCCTGTGCAGTTTCTTCACTGCACAGTAATATAAAAACTATCCCTCAGAGCTGCACAAGACTAAATAAATGTAATTAATGTGACAAGAGTTTTGTGTGCAGTCATTGATAACTGGGCTGACACTAGGAAACATACGACACTTAATATGCCGACTTAATAATTAGGTAAAAAGCCAGTCCTTCAATACAAGAGCACATTGGTGATAGCTCAGGGAGCAACAAGCAATGATGTTTGCAAAATATTCCCTTAATGAGCAAAGGTTGCAATTTGAAATTGCACTACCAGAAAACAGAACCATTTTTATCCTTAAAGGTTCCAGACAGTACAACGTTTAGACCATTCAAGACAATCAGTAATAATCATGGATGCATATATAGATTCCAATCAACTACCAGCCACCAAGGAATTGACAAAAGCCCTGTGCAGAGTCTCCTCCTCTGGATGCCTTCATGGTCTAGAACAGGGGTCCCCAACCCCCGGGCCACAGACCGCTACCGGTCCAGTGACCTGTTAGGAACCGGGCCGCACAGCAGCAGGAGGTGAGAGCGGTGAGTCCGTGCGTGGCCCAGCCGTTATTTTATTATTGACCACTTCCGTCCGCGCCTCTTTGCCGCACTGCGCACTTGTCTCAGTCACAGTGTTGGTAAGCCCACAAGCTCTAACCCCTAGTAGCCACAATGAGTAACAAACAAACGTCGCTGGAGAGCTTCTTTGAAAAGGGGGAAAGACCCAATGATGAACCCCCCCCCAACCCCGGTCCGTGACAAAATTGTCTTCCACAAAACCGGTCCCTGGTGCCAAAAAGGTTGGGAACCGCTGGTCTAGAACACCCTCCCATCAGCTGCAAATGCCGTCGAGTCCTTAACCATGTTCAAGTCCAGAATCCAGAATTTCCTTCTCTCCTTAAAAATAAAATTAAATGGTGCACGTATTTACACGCCTAATTGTTCCCCACATTACACATCCCACTATTTTGTAACACCATCTTGCAATGAGGTTTTCATTTGGACGTTAGCAAATTCCCTGCTGTTCATCCTCGTGCACGCCGAGTCACCTTGTAAGCGCCGCACACAAGGGCAAGCAGGGCAGTCTCAGCCTTATTCTGAAGCGTCTCCGTGTGCTCCTGCAACAAGAGCGACCGTGGCAGATTGCACCAAAATGTGACAAGGCATAACGACGTATTTCTGTCAGGAGAGAACGTGTGCGGCTGACAGTGTTAAGATGAAAATCTGTATGTTTAAAAACCCCATTTCCATTGCGATATTTTAAACTGACATTTGTTTTCAATTTCTATGGGAGCATCTGCCATTCAATTTCACGGATATTTAAAGAGCTCTCTACACACTTACAGTGTTGTGAATTTAAGGTCATGCCATATAGATCTGAGTTTTACACGTTGTATTGGAACCCCCAGTCGTTGTAGGCAGGCAGACAGACAGATGAGGCAGGTGTATAGGTCGGTAGCTGCGTGGATGTATAGGTATGTAGATGGGTATGCGTATAGGTTAGCTAGGCAGAATAAACAAGCAGGCTTCAAGTAAATCATGTAAAAGCCCCTTTTAGACAACTTGAAAAAGTATGATGCTTTTAGTTTAAGATTATACATGCCACCTGGGATGCATTTTAATTTACAAAGCTGACAAATGTGGCAGTGAGCACTGACCCCATTGAAGACGATCCAGGGCACGTATTGGTGTTCAGGGCGGAGGGCGTCTGTGCGTTGGGCGTTTTTGTGCATCAGTCTATTTCCCAGGGGGCCACTGGCACACTTCTCTACCGACTGCCAGTTCTGCTTGGGAGCCAGCATGGCTGTACACTGGCAAGGATACACAAGCACACATTTGTTATAAAACACACGCTACAATGAACAGATATATATACATAAACAATCCAAGTCAACTGGTCTCCATACAGAAGAGTAATGTGGTACACATTCTGAAGCTAAACTATTTTTTTAATTAACCAGGTAAGGCCCACAGAGCTATTTCGCTCTTTATCAGAAGAGACCTGGCCACAAATGATAGCTTAACGAAGTGGCTTATCACGTGGATATTTATAGCAGCCAAATACTCTAAATGCACGTCGATTCTAAATGTGGAGGGAAAAACCGGAGGACCCGTAGAAAAATCCATGCGTCGACGGAAAGAGCGTGCAAACTTCAAATATACCAGCATCAGTTGGGATCAAACCCACAACCTTCTGCATACCAGGCGAGGTAGTTACCATCTCGTCACCAAGACACCCATCCACTGGTTGCCCTGAGGCGGTAATGGAAATTATATTCTCGCAGCGTGGGCCAGGCTATAAAACAACGTGGATTCAGGCGGAACAAGTGGCTAGGCCACCTCCCCACCCAGCTGGGATTTCAACCTTCTCATCGAGTCGAGTTCTGCTACAGTAAGCACCCTGCAGGAAATGGGATACAATGGCCGAGTAAAACATTACGAATCTCATTTCATGTCGAACAAGTTTCTTAAGCTTGATATGTTTCTGGTTCCTTTGTCTAAGTAAATGATGAAGAGCTGCACTACTGGAAGTCTTACATTCTTTAGTTCCCACTATCTATACTTTCATCTCCGTCTTGTGCAAGTTGGTTCATTTGTCAAGACGATTTTGCTGCAATTTCAGTGACACCATCTAGATGATGCCCTCAGATTACCTAGTTTCCTTTTGACATTTTCAAAAATTAGGTGTGCTTAACATTTCTCACTGCAGTAACTGTGACTTGTAAGGCGTGCTGCCTATAGTTATACCTAAAACGTGATGACTTGTTTTTTTTCTATGATTTATCCAAATCCACACACAGAAATAGCAATAGCCAGGAAGCTTCACAAAGCCAATTTGGATGCAGATGCATTCCTGGAGATATTTGGCCAATTTCTTGTTTAAGTGTTATACATGACAGGGTAAACCATAGCATCTCTAGAAAACCCACACATTTTTCAAACATCTTCACAAGTGGATCATGAACACATTTGTAATGCATCTATTTCTTGGTTACCTACCAGCTCCGAAGGATGGAATTGTCAAAACACATGATAAAATCCGAGCGATCCACCAAGCCCACTCAGAATTGATGGATTTTTTGCATGTACCACCACAACTCCATATGGTGATTTAAATGACGGTGCAATTGACTAGAAGCTTACCTGCTGGGCAGCTGTAATGGGATTAGCAGCAGACTCCATGCAATTGAAGATTGGGATATGATCATCGCTATTCGGCAAGTAGTAGATCAGACATGCCTGTGTGTGTAGGGAGAGAGCAAGGTCAGCCACATCAAATACACCCCGAGACCATAGCCAAATTAGTACGAGTAATGTTGTTGGCCATCATCGACCCCATCCATACAAACATAGCATCAATGAGATATCACCCCCAGTTGATACAAGAGAAAAACTCAATCAGATCAAAATATAATTACGGCCACTCCTAAGGATGTTACCGAGACATAGCAATCACTTTTCTGCCAGGTCCTGCAACCGTTCCTCATTTTATATCCAACCTCCCCAAGTCCCGTCTTACAGTCAGATTACAACAATCTGGCTTGAGGTCTTCCCCTCGTTCAGAGCTCACGGTGCACCTCCGATTAGCAGAGCTTTGGCTGCATACGGTGCAAAAGTTCAACATAAACATACATAATATCCATGATAAAGTTTTTTTGAAGTTAGATCGTGTAAATATAATGTGTCGTTAAACCCTCCACCACCCGACAGCCAATGAGTACGGTTTGTCACAAACAAAACGTGCCAATTAGTTTCTACCTCCCAACATTTACAATGTTTACCCAGGAAAGCCTGAGTAAGGTTATTTGTTATTCCTATTGCCCTATGCACCCTGTACCGTTCCCTATTCTGCTGCAATGTGAACTGATGCCTACTTTATTGAGGGCGATATTGGCACATAAAATAAAGATATATTTTTTGATTGACAGTGGCAAATGTCTGTGCATATTTGCACTGTACATGTTACACAAAGGCTTAGATGTGCACACGGGACAAAGCCAGTCCACCACTGTGCCATGATGCCAAGTTGCCCAATCATGAATAGTTAAGGGAAAAAAGGCATGGAACTTCAACTGGTATACAGATACAAAATCGAGTATCATCAAATTTTGCCGACAAATGAAGAGGTTTTTTACTGTACTCAAATCGATTGTGTGGACAGAGCAAGTGTTTAAACCGACGTCACAGTCAGGCAGGTGCGCGATATCTGCCTCTACATTTGCAGCACTTACAAATTGGACTTAGCTGAATCTGACGTTAGATAGGCAGTGCTATGAGCTTTACAACTTATAACAGAAGACACTTAGTTCCATAAATGATTCTACTATAATGCAATGTTCATTTTAATTTAAAAAAATAGTTTGTTGTGGACAATAGAAAGTATTTATAATTTAAATGTTTCTGCAAATCTCATAACTATTTAATGATTTGAATAACTCTGTATTTTACGTTTTATTTTTTATCTATTATTGTTATCACACGATAAGTCCATTTACCAAGGAACAAGAGCGACCTCGTTGCAATCATAAATCAGTTTAAAATATGTGCGCGCGTGCAAATACATGAACCAGCTTTAAATTAAAAAAATTGGGCAATCTTAAAGTTGTAAAGATGACCACTTATTAAGTTAATAATGTACCAAGACAACGAGGTCACATGAATGTACTCGGCTGAAAAAGTGGACTGTGTATGCACTCACGCTCAGTTGTCAAGTGTTGCAAAATCATCTTGTGTCACGTGTGCACCCTCACGTGGGAGGTCATTTCAAAGATGAAAACAACAGCTTGTAAAAGCCATCGGCTGGGTTTAATGTTTCAACATTTACTGAGGCCTTCACTAATTAACATATACTGCATAGTCTAATGCTTACTCAAGTTTACGTACAATATTAATTAGTGTCTTCGCGGTTTTGAAAACTACCGGATGCAATAAAAACCCAGGCAAATCTTTAAAAAATACAGAGTGCCTGGATAAAATCCATTCATACAACACTCAACCACCACGCTATGAAACCTATCGGCTGCAGGGCCTCTACATGTACCTCATTGCCAGTGGGTGGATGTCTCATGAAAACTATGGCTCCGATTCCCTACATTACCCTCAAATAGAATGCCCTCTTAAAAGCTGAATTACAGGATTATCACTGCCAAATCCTCTAGAATGATGATGGACATACAGGTTTATTTTACCAGGTAAGAGTGCTTTGAAATAAGATTTTTTTCAACGGATATGTAAAGTACATCAAGAAATGCAAGCAGTAACACCAAATAAACATGGAAGCTCCATGATTTTTTTATGTACATTTCAGACATTTTAATGATGTGGGTAAACGATCAGTATAATCATGAAGTGGGTTTCTTATTTATTTTACTAATTTATAAAGTGCAACAGACCACAAAGACGTTTCATAGCACTCAACTTTAAATAAAAGTCACAAAAACACATGTAAGAAATAAGTGTATTTATTTTCACGTTAAATATTTCTACATGGGTATAGTATGTCTACGTGGGTATAGTATGTCAACCAACAAGATTGTAATTCAAATAGAAATTTGTCCATTTTTATCGATAAGGGAAATACTAATGAAATAACATGGCAGCAGATTTTCTCAGAGAAAATTAGTATTCCTTCGGTAATCGAGGTATACATTCCGGAGATTCTCATAAATAGCCAAATTCACTGATGATATTGGCCTACGAAAACCTACATTATTAATGAATTACCTTAAATACGTAAATAAGCTGTTATATACGTTATCTCACCACATTCCCTTGCATCACTAGCTCTCGTCACTTTATCTCTCATAACTTTATCTCATGCAGTCGTGTAGAGTTGTAGATGTGATTCGCAAATAGCCAAAATCGTGGTTAGCAAGTTCGTGAATAATGAGGGAATACTGTACATATTCTATGGGTCTTTCGGTAAAGCCACGTAGATATAAAAATAATAAAAATATCACGACGTTTCGATCGCAACACAAGCAATCGTCTTCAGCTTGTGTTGCGTTCGAAACGTCGTAATGTTTTTATATCTACGTGGCTTTACCGAAAGACACATAAAATATGTATTCCTGCAGTCACGAAAGCTTTAAGTCAAGATTTAACATGTCAAATCATTCACTTGTCAAATCATTGACATTAATAAGCCATATTTCCCAAAACTATAATTTCCTTTCAAATTTTCCCAAAATGTATTAAGATATTTTGTTATTGAGGTTATCTTACTTATTTCCTCATATCAAAACTCTGATTATGGACACCTAGATCTTAACTAATTTTGCAACACGTCCTCACCTGCAGCATGTTCCCCTTGCATTCATTCGGGCCGTGCTGGCAAGTGAAGTTCCACTGGTCTCCTGCCGACTGCTCCTATAAAACACAGGGTCAGCAGAACATGAAAATGCAACGATGCAGTGCTCTGTGTAGCATCAGCAGGTCGGCCTAAAGTCAACTGTTGTCATACTATGGAATGATTTCATCATCAACATTTATACGTTTGTGTCAAGGTTGGCGAGTGGGTCATTGGATGGCGATAGCAGCAGCCCGACGAATATCTCAAATGTTGCCAGCGAATGATTGAAGTAGGCAGTCGTGTACTTTGTGGTCCATGCTTTCAGATTGGTAATCGCAAGTCACATGTTATTTTAATATTCTAGGATAAATCGTTTATTGATTAATTATTCATTGATGTACATATTTTGTAGAGATTGACACGCAACACGTTAATGTAGAATTTCTACCATTGACTCAGGCCTGCTAATGGAAATGTTCATTATTTCTGATATATTTCATGTCTTAATACATTTTACCAGTGTGCTAGAGGTTGAGTCTCTCAAAGAGTGCAATCCCCACATAATGTGCTTAAATACATCTGTAAATGACAGACGCTTATGCTGTGCAATAAGCGGGGCAGATTGTGCACGAGTCTGTCAAGAGCTTGAGATCTGACAGGGCCTTAACATCTCTCCGTGGCCTTGCCCCACCTCATCTTGCCTCTCATCTCCTTCTATGCCCCTCTTATCTCTTCCTTTCCAATCTTCTGCTCTCTCTTTCTCTGCCCATCCTCCCTGTGCCCAATCCCATTTTTGGTCCTTCTCCCTCCTTGCACCCCTCTACTGTAATAAACTTCCTCTGTACATTAAGCAGTCTCCGTGCTTATCCTCATTCCATTCCTCTCTTAAAGCTTACCTCTTCTTTATTGCACAGTCTGTTCCTCTTCCCTCCCCTCCACTACTTCCAGTCTCTCCCCGACCCTTTTGTGATCCCTAAGTACCCTCTATCGAAGTTGATCATTCCCCAATCCTCACACACTCCTGTGATCTAAATCATTATTCTGTCACCGTTTAATAGTATGTCAAGCTCCTTCAGGTAAAAGGTGCTCTATAAATCTAAAGATTTGCCACACACATAAAAAAACCTTAGTCATCCCTGATGTTAAGTATGCATGTATCAACTTCGTTTGCACCGTATGTCAACAACCGTGCGAATCAGAGATGCGGAGTAAGGATAGCACCAACAACACGTACAAATTGAATACATTTGTGGCCTTCTGCCGTCACGTGTGCCATGCTGGGACTGCCAGCCTGCCTCGGCACGAACAATCACTCACGAACGGCAGCACGCTCCGTACCCTGGCGTTGCCGTACGGCACCAATGTGATGTTCATGATGTCTCCCAACAGCAGCCACGTGCCGTAGAGCTGGCCCCTGAAGAAATCCCGGCAGTCTGGGCACAGCGACTCCATGTAGACATCGAGGAGGACAGGAGCGGAGCCCGTGCACCTGGGCTGGGTCAGATATGGCAATGGCAAGGCATTAAATAAATTCCATGGCCAAGCTGCACGTTGCATTATGTTGAACTTCTTTCACACAACACGTAGCCAACCATGCAAATCGGAGGTGCTGGGGAAGGATAACAAAAGAGAAAAAACTCTTCTAAAGAAATTAGTTTCTAATCTATATTTAAAATTACATAGCTCCAGTGGTTTCCTAATATCGGAAGGAAAGGCATTCCAGACAGCCGCAGGCGCATCTCAAAGCACGCGATGCATCTCAGGCATGTTAAAAAATTAACTCATCCCCAACCCACAAATAGTTTGATGAATTGATAAGATTTGGTGCCAGTATTAAATAAATAAAATCGCGCTTTTTTACCATGTTATCATTGTACAGCATTTTATTATCCACGCAAGCATTCAAATATCAAGAGAAACCAAACAATGGACAAGGATGTCACCACAATCAATAACCAGCGTTGTAATGTACAGGGCCAATCAAATACGAGGGGCAAAATATAAACGCGAACAGGATGAGATACCTGCATCAACAGAAATCACTATGAAGAAATAGTAACATAGATTATACATAATTCTATAAAACCGTTAATATAATATTAGACATTAAAGAACACAACGCAAAAGTGGGTAAACATAATAAGCTACGGGAGCACACACAAAGTTACGGAAATCACTGGCAAACACACAAACAGGACCTCTTAGCCAACAAGTTGGAACAGTTAATTGAACAGATAGCATAATAAAACTAGTCTTCGTCTTCTGTCGCATGGCAATCTCACAGACAGGTCAAGTCAGATAACAGCGTGAGTAGTCGCGGAGTGTATCATCATCGCTGTGAGGTCTCCTTCGTATTCGTGGATCGGGCATTGCGTCTGTTCTGGATGACCACAGAGTCGCACACGACTACTGGGGGAGTTTAAAACGTTCCACTTGTGTGCATCGTCCAGGTATCCCAAAGCTACTGCCGTGGTTTGTTCAGTGGATGCGGCTTATAGTGGAATATGAGCTTCGTGGCAGATTTAAAAAAAATACCCTGGGATATTATTGCGTTCGCTCTTTCGCAACAAGGCGGTGTTTGTTTCACAAGGGGTTGTGAAAGAAATGCGAATACTACCGATGATGAGGATGTTCCAAATGTCACAAATAGAGAACTATTTTCATTCGCAGTAGTAGTAGTAACCAAAGGAAACGCTCACAGACCACAGATCTAATCAAGCCTGTAAATTATGAGCAAACCCCGATGATAGTATAATAGGCTGGAAAAAAACAGCCGTTTCAAACAAGACACACAGATGCGTACAAGTCACACATTTGTTTGCGTCTCGTTGTCCGCTCTGCACTACAATTGTCAAGATGTTGTCTCGCTATTTACACATTTAGCCGACGGTGGCGATGGAGCCCCGGGGTCTGTAGGCCGAAGCCTCGGCCTCGCCTGCTCTCGCTACCGCCTCGAGATGCAGCTGCGACGGCAACTTCATCGAGCGAAACCAGCCTCGCGTAGACCAACAATTCGCAATTAAGAACCTCGCTCCATTACTCCCACGTCAATCTCGTAAGCGATAGATTAAACACAAGAAAACACCGTCAATATTCCCCAAAAAAAACAACATTCACAGTAACAAAGCTCGATAATTTCACACCGGGCCACCAACTCGCAGCTTCTCAGCCGGCACCGCAGCACCAAACCCGGCCACGACTTCCAGGCAAGACCGAGGCTTCTCAAGGCGACAGCAGCCGGCACCTTCCTCGACATTCATCACCAGCAGTTGTCTTCGCCACAGGGCGGCCCACAAGAGTTTTGTTTACCTCGCACGAGTCCTTGGAGGCTTCGCACATGCGTCGCGGAGTGGCGTCGCAAGAGTTGAACTCGTTGCTGAGCTTGGAGCAGAAGGCGAGCTGGGCCAGGGCGGCCAAGGCGACCAGGCCGAGAGGGCCCATAGCTGTGGTTGTAGTTGTGGTTGAAGTTGTTGTTGTTGTTGAAGCAACTTTGTGTGGCCCGTTGAAACAACCTGCGGTGTCGACACGACTCTGTGCCGAACTAAACTCGTGTTGTTAAAACAATTGTGCTAAGTCGGTGCAAGCGGTGTTGAATCAATTCACCGTCGATGTCAACTTTTGTGGACGGAGTTGAGGCGACTTTTTGGTGGGTCGCACGCGCGTTTTGTTAAAGCAACGTTTCGTTGTTCAATCAACGTCGCGTTCGAGATTATAGTGCTTTGTTGATTCAATTAAGCGGCCTTTTTGTTGAAAGCAACTTCGTGTTGCCGAGACAAACGGTTCCTTCGTCGGAGCAAGTACTTACAACAACTTCTCAATGGTAAACCAACTATTGACAGAGACGCGACTCCTCGATGAAGCAACTCTCTGCACGCATATTGCTGAAATGCCTTGCTTGCTAGCTGCTGTTCGCCTAACGCCCACTGACTTGCAAGGGATAAAATATTGCCCAGCGGGGCAAATATAAACCAATTGCGTGCGACTGAATGCAATTAATTGATTAAAAACGACGCATCAGATGTTGAGGAAGCCCAATTATTGGGTGGGTGCCGGTGCTGGAAACTCCCTCAGCCACACACCCAAAGACAAAGATCCCCCGGATAGCTTCGACACTGTTGGGGCAAGTGCTGTTAGCGAGCACCTAATGAAGTCTCCCCAGTGGCGATGTTTTTACGCACCGCACCAGGTACTCATTTGAGGCTGAGTCGACCTAGGGGAGGCCCGGGACCGGTTCAGATAATCGTCACTGATGTTGGCCGTGAGCGAGAATCTAACGCGGGTCGCCAGGTTTGTAGCGCAGCGCGCTAACCACTACAAGTCTACACCACCTCTCCCACACACACACACACAGCCACTCACCCATTCACTCACCCACCTACCCGCCCACTCACTCACCCATCCACTCACACACTCTCTAACCCTCTCACTCACCTGCCCGCTCACCTACCCGCTCACTCCCCCGCCCACTCACTCACCCATCCACTCACACACCCACTCACTCACTCACCCACCCACTCACTCACCCACCCACTCACCCACTCACTCACCCACCCACCCACTCACCCGCCCACTCAGTCACCCATCCACTCACACACCCTCTAACCCTCTCACTCACCTGCCCGCTCACCTACCCGCTCACTCCCCCGCCCACTCACTCACCCATCCACTCACACACCCACTCACTCACTCACCCACCCACCCACTCACCCACCACCCACTCACCCACTCACTCACCCACCCACTCACCCGCCCACTCAGTCACCCATCCACTCACACACCCTCTAACCCTCTCACTCACCTGCCCACTCACCTACCCACTCACTCCCCTACCCACTCACTCACCCGCCCACTCACTCACCCATCCACTCACACACCCACTCACTCACTCACCCACCCACTCACCCACTCACTCACCCACCCACTCACCCACCCACTCACTCACCCATCCACTCACACACTCTCTAACCCTCTCACTCACCTGCCCACTCACCTACCCACTCACTCACCTACCCACTCACTCACCCATCCACTCACACACCCTCTCACACTCTCACTCACCTGCCCTACTCACCTACCCACTCACTCACCTACCCACTCACTCACCCATCCACTCACACACCCTCTCACACTCTCACTCACCTACCCACTCACCCATTGACTCACCCACCCACTCACCCGCCCACTCACCCATCCACTCACACACCCTCTCACACTCTCACTCACCTACCCACTCACTCACCCGCCCACCCGCTCACCCGCCCGCCCACCCACCCGCTCGCCCACCCACCCGCTCGCCCGCCCACCCGCTCACCCGCTCGCCCACCCACCCACCCGCTCACTCACTCACCCGCCCACTCACCCTCTCACACTCTCACTCACCTACCCACTCACTCACCCGCCCACCCGCTCACCCGCCCGCCCGCCCGCCTGCCCGCCCACCCACCCGCTCGCCCGCCCACCCGCTCGCCCACCCACCCGCTCGCCCACCCACCCACCCGCTCGCCCACCCACCCGCTCACCCGCTCACTCACTCACCCGCCCACTCACTCACCCATCCACTCGCACACCCTCTCACTCACCTGCCCAATCACCCACCCACTTACTCACTCATCCACTCGTCCACCCACTCACTCACTCACCCAGTCGATCAAAATATCTCCCATGTCCTGTTTAATAAGAGCAAACAAAACATGAACTACGCTCCGCCGGGCAGTTGTACATACAAAGATTAGGCGGTGAATACAGTGAAATATATTTTAAGTCACGCTTAAAACGCAATGGAAAACAATTAAAGTATGAAGTATGTATTTTGTAAAACGTCAGATTTGTTGAAAATGGGTGGGGGATATATGTCGTGGCAAGAGGCCATTGAATTGGAGGCGAGAATTCGGTCGGAATAATACGAATCTTTATTTAGACTACAGCAGGAATTTGATGAGCTATGAAGATCTTTTTCAAATATGTCCAGTAGGGGCGAGTCAGAAAATTCCAACAACAATACAAACACCGATAAAAGTGCAAAGTATAGGAAAGGTAAGCAAGTCACTAAAATAAATACGTATATAATTGAGTTTGGACGATCCTTCCAAGAACACTTACACTGGCTGAGGCTGGTTTTCTCACATATCAAGGAAGCACATCTGAAACTCAAGCCTTCTAAATGCCATCTCGCACAGCCTCCCGTTAGATACCTGGGGCACATAGTCAGCGCAACGGGGGTGGCGTCTGATCCCGAGAAGACACGGTGTTTTCGAGAATGACCAACCCCCGTATCCGTGCCAGATGTTAGAAGATTGATCTGCTTTATTTCCTATTACCGTAGATTCGTACAGGATTTTGCGGCCTCTGTGAAACCCCTACACACACTCAGAGCTAAGGGGCAGAAGTTCCAATGGGGTACGGAAGAGAATAGGGCTTTTATCTGTGGACGCTCTGGGTATACCACCATTGGCATTCCCAGATTTTTCATTGCCTTTCACGCTGGACACGAATGCAAGCGATGTGGGGATTGGGACTATCCCATCTCAGGTGCAGTCTGGCAGAGGTGGTAATAGCATATGGCACCCGGGTATTGCCATTGGCTGAACAATGCTACGGTGTAACTAGGAGAGAACTCCTGGCCATTACGCATTTTGTGCAGCAATTTCGCCCATACCTATACGGACGGAAATTGGAGGTGCAGACTGACCACACAGCACTGCAAGACTCGTTACGTATCAACCAACTCTCTGGTCAAATGGCCAGGTAGATTGAGAGGCTGCAAGAATTATCCTATTAAGTGGGTCCATAGGAAGGGGTTGCGTCACACCAATGATGATGCTTTATTGCGTCTGCCAGAGGCAGGTACTTGTGCATGTGCTAAGGGGTCACCCAGGTGTAAACCACTCTCACTTGACACGGAGTGCCTCACAGCACCTGTGCACATACGGGAAGGCAAGCCGGAGCCTCCCCTGGCCGATTGGGATTTGGGACTGAGTCAAGAGGAGTGGCAGCGATTGCAATGAGAGGATGAGACGCTGGAACCCATTCGCGCCATCGCTAGATCTAGCCCAGAACAAGACCAGCCTCCAACAGCTTCGACATTCGTAGATTATGAAGGGCTGTTGATCCGTTGGGAGATCGACACACAGTCCTACTGTGTCGTCGTGCCGACCTCCATTCGCAAAAAGTTAGTTGCGGAGGTGCATGGCTGCTGCCTCCTGCATTTGGGGGAGCTGAAAGCACTCTCCACTTTTAAAACTCATTATTTTTGGCCGAGCATGATGGCGCATGAATGGCCTCATGTGTAAATGTTTTCGGCAGAAGCCGCCAGCACACCCAATTAAAGTGCCCCTACAATCAATCGAGGTTTCGTGGATTAATGAGTTGGTGGCCTTTAATATATTGGAACCCCTACATCGCACCGACAAAGGTTACAAATATCTGCTACTAGGGGTTGATTATTTCACGCGATGACCGGTGGCGCGCCCCTAGCGGATCAAACTGCTCAGTCTATTTATTCCTCAGTCTATACCAGAAGCTATTGTTGCATGGATTTTTTTTTTATGGATAAAGGGGTCCCTGAAAAACTTTTAACAGACCAGGGTAAAAAAAAGTCCTGAAAACTGATACAGGAAGTGTGCGACATTCTAGGCACTAAGACAGTAATGCACTTCCTCATATCACCCACAAACCGAAAAGTTGGTAGAACGACTAAATCGCACCATCACATCCATGCTGTGTCAGGTGGCCAATGACACTCAGATGAACTAACACATAGGCGGGGTCCTGGCGGCATACCGGTTGGCCCCGTATGCGTCGACGGCATACTCTCCATTCTATTTAATGTATGGTAGGGAGCCGGACCCTCCATCGAGCACCAGCTTTTTGACCTCCCAGCTGGGGCTGCAAAATGGCCTATAACGGTACGACGGGTCATGCAGCAGTGGGAGACGGCGAGGGAAGTGGCACAAGCTGCAGTGGCTTCCGCCCGTTCCGCGAATGAACGGGCTAGGAAAAAGGAAGTGACGCCCCTGCCTTTCGAAGTGGGAGATAGTACGTGGCTACATTGCCCACAGGTCCTCTTAAGAGCGTCACCTAAACTGCACTATCCGTGGCAGGGTCCTGTAAAGGTGGTAGAGATTCTTAGTCCTCAATGTGTATGTGTCCAAATTTCGATTTAAAGCTTTCGTGACTGCAGGAATTCATCTTCTTGGTTTTTTCGGTAAAGTCACGTAGAAGGGAAGTAATAAAATAATAAAAATAAAACATAATAAAATAATTCTCACTGACGTTTCGGCTACAACGCAAGCAGCCGTCTTCACAAAGAGAGAGACACACACTTTTCTTTCTTTTTTACCTACGTGACTTTACCGAAAAAAACACAAAGAGTATGGACCCTTGCAGTCACGAAAACTTCAAATCTAGAAGAGAGACACATCGGCGTTGTTTTTGTGTCTCTCGATGTGTCTCTCCTCTGTGTGTCTCTCTCTGTGTGTCTCTCTGTGTTGTTTGTCTCCGTGTCTCTCTCTTTCCGAGCTTGCATTTACATACATTTCTCACCTGATGACGGTTGCTTGTGTTGCAATCGAAACGTCGTGATATATATTTTCTTTTTTCTTTCTACCTGACTTTACCGAAAGAACCAGAGAGAATAAGCGTACTTATTTCACAGGGCCTGAAGGTCAATGTCAACATCTCATGAAAATAGGAATCTGCATTGAATCAGTGTAATATTCTGAGCATTATGGAAATTCACAGAAATGTCTCTGGATCATCGTAAACAGGAAACTCGTGGGCAAATGACTAAGAATGAGAGTGTTGCTTTGTATCGTGCACGATTTATCTTTAGATAATACACGACAAACTGTTTTAAAAGCTATTTTAAAACAGTTTGCCTCAGCAGCAGACCATGTTTTCCCACCTGATGATGGACGCTTGTGTTTCGCCCAAAACGTCGTGATTTTTTTTATACCTACGTGACTTTAACGAAAAAAACAAAGAGTATGGATTCCTGCAGTCACGAAAGCTTCAAATCACGACACTACCTCTTTTCGGAGCACTAAAATGCACTGTATATTGCTGTACAAGGAACAATATATTTGATAATAGTTTTTACCCTTTTTTCTGGCAACAAAACAGGTGTTAAAATGTTAAAACACCAAACTGAAACCTTTTACAAGGAATCATGTCTGCATTAACCACAATGCTTGTGGTCAGAATGCAAACAAAAAAACATACTCTGATAATAAATGACTTGTCCTTGAAACTGATTGGTCCACACCAGAGACAGCTTTCTTTTGAGCCTCGTCTCAAACGGTTTAGACCAGAGGACGCCAAAAGGCATACAGCACAAAGACAAGCACTATCAGAACCACAAGTGTTGTGGTTAATGCAGACATGATTCCTTGTAAAAGGTTTCAGTATGGTGTTTTAACATTTTAACACCTGTTTTTAGCCAGAAAAAAGGGGAAAACCTATTATCATATTTTGGTATTGGCAAAGGAGGCCCCAACAATATATTTATTAACGGAACTTGTGAAAGGGAGCGCAGTATGGCACAATTTTCCAATGTGGCTCCGCACACAATCCTGTAATCTAGTAGTAACCTCAAGGTTGGGTAGGTGGACCATGCAGAGATGGAGCCTCCATGAGACCTTGCCACCTCGAGTGTTGATTTATTCCAGGTACTGATTTCCTCCCACGTTTCCTGATTTCCCCCTTCACTCAAAAATGAATTTTCTGAACATTACAAAGCAGGACCCTTCTCAAGGGGTCTTGACACATAGATGTTTGCTGCACAATGACCAAAAAGGCCATATTGCATCAGCACAAAGATTACATTTTCTATTCAAGCAGTGTGTGAGTGTTTTGCTAATTGTGTTTGTGAACCATTGCCAACGCAGCATCATCATTAAATGTTTAATTCCAAGGAAGATACTCCTAAAACGTAGTCATGAGATTCAGTGGCACATTCTTGCCATGCATGTCACTGCATTCACTTGTAAAATGAACCAAAATATACACACATAGTCTCAAGTCATTCAACTCCGGTCATCTTTATTTAAAAGGTGAATCATTATTCAGGTGCCTTTTTTGAAGAGAGGACACCCATGTAACTATAGTTGTGTACGAACATGTTTAAATCAATTAGACGAGCAAAGCACACGGCCAATTCTTACAACAGATGTCGTAAGACCAATTATATCTACTTTGCAAAAAAGGTTCCATGTAATTCCGTGTATACATTTCCAAACAATGACAACAATTAAAGCTTTACCAACATATAACGTGACTGGCTGTAAGTAGCAACTGGTCTAAAGCCCAGTTTACTGTAATTTTAAACATAACATTAATTCTAAGCAATCATAGCAGAAATAACACAATAAAACATTTTCAATATGACACAATACCAAAAGTGCATTTAGGTATCTGTACATGATTTATTTATATTCATACTGTCCTTAACCCACTGTCCACCCCACCCCCACACAACTATCCCCCACAAAATTTATTTAAAAGTAAAATTTTGTTTTATCGCGTTCAAGTGTTTCATGTGCATTTTGAGTGAAGAGTAAGTTTGGGTTATAAATGGTCCATGGTGGGTGAATGTCCAAGGCTTGTGTTGAGAAGTAGGTCCTTATTTTCCGCAGGCTACTGGCAGTTCGCCCTGCGAGGGACAGACAAAGTCGTGTAGTTGGTGCATTGTTGACATCGTTTATTTTCGAGAGCCCTCTCCAAAATCAAACAGTTCCCAGCCACATTGGTGAAACAAACATGAGTCGTGAGTGCTGGACGGAGTACACTGGGAACGTGAATTTTCTAGAGACAAACAAAATATCCTTGTGAGTAAAAGTGAAACATGAAAATACCAAGTGTATCTTTACTCAGATGAGCAAGCAGCAGGTACTCATAACATCTGGCATATTAGTAAGATAAAGTAATGATGTTCTAACTCCATGCCAAACCAATTCGGTTGTTCTATGGAGATGTTGGTTCCTGTAATGTCAGAATTCAGCACTGCGAAGTGAAATGCGCTACTACCAATGCTATCGTGGGCGTGGCGCCACTTGAACTTGTAAGATAATACAAGCCACAATGTGGTGTCGTGGTATAAAGAGACTTGTACTCACGATAATAGTTTTTTTTACCCTTTTATCTGGCAACAAAACTGACACCTTTTTTGTTTTGTTGCCAGATAAAAGGGTAAAAAAACAAACAATTATCATATTTTTTTACTGGCAAATGATGTTCCAATGGTGTAAATACTTGTACTCATGTCTGGGTCTGCACGACATTTTCGTGGTGCTATTGGTGACCATTAACTCATTGCAACTTGTTGTGAAATGGGTGTAAGCACAGGTGGCTGTCTGCATTCATGTTCAGGTGCCTCAATGGTGTGCCCAAGTGCTCGGACGTGGTCATCGTGACCTGACTAAACCACCCCAGCCTCCCTGTGTTTGTCCTTCCTTAAACGCGCGACCTTCCAGCCGCCACTGCCGGAGCTTGTCACGTGCGTCAGTGGAGGCACAGCGAACTTGTTTTGACATCATTTATCCGTTAAGGGCATTTGATTTTTCTTTGTTAGAGCAGCACTCAAAGAGAACCAGACTACAAAAGCTACGACTGCACAAACGTACAACGTGGCAGCCTGCTGTGTACAGTGTTTCCTTCGGTTTGAACTGCTTCCTCCGGCACGTACCTATATAACCACACCTGTGTATGTATATATGAACATGCGTTGTTGAAAGTGTTACTTTTGAAAAGAATACATTTTTTTGTTACCGAAGACTCGGGGTTTAAGAGACCTGTTTGAAATGTTATTGTATTTATATAAGGTGAGTAAAGTCACGGATAACCCCACAGATAATAGGATCCGTGATATTGTTTCCCCATATCGCAGATAAGAGAAGTTATCTTGTAATAAAATAATTGTCCCAGCTCTAATGCTTGAGCCTCATGGTCATCAAAATATTTATTTTTTGCCTGATATAAAATTTTAAACGAAGGTATGTTCTTACCTTTTACAGCATTGTTATCCACATGTTAGGAGTAATAGAAAGAAATAGGACCGCGGATAATAGGAGTTTTTGTGGACCCTACAGCTGCCGCGGATAATAGGAGTCACAGGGTTACGGAAAAGAGGCGTTGTCCTATAACCGACTACAGTATATTTAAATTCGAATCGACTACTTTTAGTGGTTAATTATTCACATCTTCTTTACTTGGTTGTTGTTAACTATTTCCGCATTTCATTTGCATACATAGCGCACTGACAACGATTGCTTAAGGGCGCTTTATAAATTAAAATAATTATGATTATTAACAGACGTGATAATTTTTTCCAACTATTTAAAAAAATCTTATTTGATTAGTCGCGCAATTGAACTAATAAATGGTCGCGTAATGAATAAGGTAAATAATCAGATAACCCAGCTTTACTTAAGAGTCATGGATTAACGTGAGCTATTTTGGCCAAACTGAGGCCATTTGGAACCTTATGGTTCAGTGAAAACGCCCTGGACTTAAACAGCCAAACTCAGGCAACTCAAATCTGGTGTCCATTGCTGAGTTGTTTAACTTTGCACGTTTCTCACTGGGTTTGAGCTATCAGCAGGCAGATATGTGTAATCCAATTCACCAGGCACATGTGACATTTTATACTAACCAGAAATTGACATCACAGGTCTTTATTCTGTTCATAACCTTTGATGGGGCTAAACTACACAACTGCTGGGCTGCACATTTCAGTAGTAATGTGTACATATACATGTACAGCCGTTTTGTAATCAACTGTTGGATGAAGACCTCCCTACGCCATGCGCGTTGTTGGGGTGTTATGGTCCATACTTTACCTGCTGGTCAGTGTGGGCTGAAGGTGAGGATCATAGATATGGGAACATAGAAGTACAGTACCGACGATGGACTTCAAGGCCCTGCCGTCTCCTGCCCACAACGTGGCTAAGTAGACCCTATGTCAACCTCTGCGTGCCATTGTGATTACCCATCCAAGCACTATGCGGGATGATGCCTGCTTAGCTTCTGATATTTGACAATACAGAGTGCATTTCGCCATTTGTAGTCACATACCCCAGCTATAATGGCAGGTGGCACAGCCATCAACTCTAACCGAAGGGCTCATGTTACAATTCCAGTCTGGAATCGACTCAACCTAATATCCCCGAGGTGGCAAATCAAATGTACAACTGGTTATCGAGATAGTGACCACGGCCATGGGCACGTGTATTTTTCCATGTTGGCCTCAGGGCAATCATTGAACACGAGTGCTTCCCACCCCCAGTGCTCGAGATACTGTCTTGTTTGACACGCGTGTAGGGATGCTGAGAAGGGAGCCCTAATTAATGAAGAACTTCACGCAATCATTCACGGCATAACGAGCCACAGCTGGTGTTGTGGCTTGGTAAGCAAGGCGTGGATCGCTCTGATTGGCTGAGTGGAGCAGCCAATCAAATCGAATGGCCAGAATGGCTGGGGCAGCCATCTGATTGGTCATCTGTTTGAAGCAGAATGTGGGCCCGGGATTTTAAAAGGGGTCAACGATCGATGAAGACTTTGGGGAAGTGAGGGCCGGGAAAAATAAAGGGGCATCCGACAGTTATTTGGGGCCCTCTCCAATACAAGTCTACGCAGCGAATCAATAAAAGGGACGTACACGTGTATTGTAGCGTTTGCTTTCTGGAATGTCGAGTGTTCTTACCTTGTATGCACTGCAAACCATCGGAAGGAGTGCCTCCATTGCCTTGTTCTGGATATCCTCCGTGTGAGCCTACATAGGAGAATGGTTCACAACGATCATAGGGACAAGACAAGGAGATCCAATATCACTGAACACCTTTGGAAATGGTGATTGATTGCATCCAAGACAATGGTACAGGAATATCGATACATGGTGAACATATACATAAATTATGATTAACAGACGATTGAGATTTGCTAGAGGAAAAATGTCCAGTGTTGCAAGAAAGTGTTCATACATTGAATAATTCAGCAAAAAATGCAGGACTGAGGATCAATGTGGAAAAGACTAACACCATGGTGTTTGGAAGCCAACATTCAGAATGAAATTATGATAGGAAACCAAAAGATAGAGAATGTACAAAAATGTGTCTACTTGGGAAGCATATTGATCTGGCAAAATAAGTCACAACAGGATTTAACAACATGCACAGGAACAAGCAAATTAGCTACAAAACCAAGCTGAGAATCTTAAAAACATGCGGTTTCAGCACATCTTTGTATGCCTACGAAACTTGGACACTTTAAAATCCTGTGACAGGGACAAAATACTGGCATTTGAAATGTATCGCTTTAGGAGGATAGTGCATCTTAGTTGAGCACAAACAGTGACACACGTAGGAGTAAGAGAAAGGCTGAACGTAACAGAGGACTTGATGCAAGTGGCACTAAGTAGGAACCGTGTTAGTTTGGGCCACACACATGTAGGATGGAGAACAACAGGAAAATAAAAACTGTAATGATGGGAATAATGGAGGGAAGTAGAAAAAGTGGAAGACCCTGTAGAGAATGGCTGGACGACATCAGAGATTGGTGCCAGAGAGATGTGGCATAGCCTCAGTGTGTTGGCACAGGATAGAGGGATGTGGAAACAAGTGACACAAATTGCAGTGGATACCTGCGGGCTTTCTGCCCATGAAGTTTGATGATGATGATGAGCCTACATGATAGAATGCACGTCCTGTTTATTCCAGCTCTAGTCAAGTTCATCCGTCGTTCGATGGAGAGATTAAGAAACTGGTTCGGGACTGCCAACCGAAATGAGCGTTTCACCTCAAAGCTCAGTGATGCAGGAAGACACTTTAACATTGAGTTTAAGGAACAGTCTTGAGTACGTATTTTAAAATCTGCAGTTCCACTTTTCCAGTCAACCCAATAAGTATGCACCTTCCGCCTTTGCCACGGAAGTAACCCAAAGTTAGATACTGTCACCCAAAGTTAGATACATATATATACAAACACAGACATAATTTCAACCGTGATGATGGTTACAAACTGAGTAATCATTGGAAAGATGTGATTAACCATGCAAAAAAGATTTAACTACACTTATTTGGTCCATCTTATTTGACAGACAACTATTACAGGTTATTGATAGACAGCCAGGCTTGTTTTACCATGTTTAGTTGTTTTCTTTTTTCACACTATTGTTATGTAGGCCAGGCTTAGTCACAAACCGTACCTCTCCATAACAAAGGCTCAGCCTTTTGTTATGCAGTCTATTCTTAGTCTTAAGCCTCACCTTACCATATTAATAAAAGTGTGCCGTACTTGGTCCTTCCCCTCTCCAACCATTATATATACGGAGTGGTAGCTCTTGTAATCTCTCATTTACTTGATACAGCTGTCGTGGCTGTGACGGTTCCACCTGAAGACGGAAGCTTGTGTTGCCTCCGAAACATCGTGATTTTTATTTTATTTTACTTTTATTAATTTTAATGTTTTACCTACGTGACTTTACCGAAAAAACCTAATAATATGAATCCTTGCAGTCACGAAAGCTTCAAATCTAGAATTAGATACTGTCGTAGAATTACTTGTGTCTGTTAAATGTGTAGTGGCGTTAATGTTGTCACTATAGTGTTAAATTGTCATGGATAGACTGTTCTCCGCCACGAGAATGTGGAATTTCCACCACCAGCTTAGGGTTATCAACAGAACTGAGCACCACCGCTTTGCTAACTTCATCAAGGATCCCTTTTGACTATTTTCTTGTGATTATAATACAATAGAGTTCACTCAGAGTTTAGCAAAATCAAGTTCAATGAAAAGATCTGTTTATATTTAAAATAGTTTGTGTATTCCTTCATGTCTGGGTTAAGACCATAAAAAGCATTCAACACTTGAGAACCTTATTTATTCTAGATTTGAAGTTTTCGTGACTGCAAGGATCCATACTCTTTGTTCTTTTGGTAAAGTCACGTAGGCGAAAAAATAATAAAAATAATAAATAATAAAAAAGAAGGGGAAACATATTTTTATTAAATTTCTTATTTTATTGTATTATTTTTTCACCTACGTGACTTTACCAAAAAAAACAAAGAGTATGGAACCTAATTTATCCATAAGTGACTGCTAAGCTTCAAGCTCAGGATCTCAACATTGCTGGCTCCGTGCTCTAATACGGCGATTATGAGACCCCTGACCCACTCGGCCAACTCTAACTGGCTAAGTGATAAAACAACCCCAGTTTTATGAAATGCCATCTTAGCAAGTAACCCATTTTACAGAAGCTGTACAAAACGGCCCATTAACAGAGCCTTTCCTACACGAAAGAAGAGGGATATTACTGTGTACAGTAATACACGGTTGCTGATCTTTCACTGAATCAGAACTCGTGGTTTGATGAAATGTTGTATGTTGAACTTCTCTCACACCGTACGTAGCCAACTGTGCTAATCGGAGGTGCGGGGGGAGGACAACAAACTAAGCACAAAAAGCTATTTTAAACAACTGAGTTTTCCATCTTAGATTTTAAAGCGCATAAGCTCCAGTGGCTTCCTAATATCGGAAGAAAGAGCATTCCAGACGGCCGCAGAAGCACATCCGAAAGCACGTGATGCAGTGACCGTCTTTGTAAACGGATGTCAATGCATGCCTGGCAGAAAGAACTCCTGCTAACGGCCCTGCCTTCGTCATGAACCCACTTGCTTATGTCTACGATTGTTTCTGATATCCTTAAAGCCCAGCTACTACGAAGAAAAGAAGTTTCAAGACAACATGATTCAAGAAACAGGGAAACATGTTGCCCCGAGTGGTTTCTGGCTTTTACTTTCAGCTGATCAAAAAACATTTCCCTTTGGTCATTCATAAAAAACTCTGAGTCATCGATCACGTGACTTTGAAGCTTGAAAACGTTTTCCCGAACGATGTTTTCAGACAATATTTGAGGAAATACGTTTCTGTAAATTAGTTTCCAGCATGCTTCATTGCCATTACGTGCCACTTGCAGCTGCACAAACCTCCAACTGCGGCAACTAGTAATGATGATGGTGGAGTTGGCCCGATGGTTGAATGGCTCATAATCGCCCATGTCCGAGCACTGAGTCAGTATGGATGAGTTCCTGAGTTGAAATATCAGTTTAGCCACCTGCGATGAAACCTGCGCATTCATTCTCAAGTATCACGAGTTGATGGTCTCTCTCTCCCAGTCATTAGTGACTACAGAGCAAAACATAGAATTTCAACTATTTCATAAACATTTATATAAATCAGCTCAAGCTTCCTGTAATTCACTTGCCTACTGTGTCGGCACCCCCACTCCAAATCCCTCCGCTCTCCCCACCGCCCCCTCTGAAAACCGATGCCGCTCCTCTGTGCAGCAACGTTGAGGCCCTGATGCAGCCTCTCCCCCCACTCCTCCTCACCTTTCCTGACCCTTTTCTCCCGTTTCTCCATTCATGTTCCATCCCTTTCCTCTTATTTCACATTGCAACTCTTCTCCTCTCTTGTCTGTCCCATTCCATTTTCTTTTTCCCATTCACTGTATCCTTGACTCCACTCCCCCTACCCGTGGTGTGCCACGGGTACAAAGTTGCGAGTCGCTATGATCGTTTATCATTCATGGTCTGAAAACTACAAATTTCAGTTGGACTGTCATGCAGTGGACGCTATTCTCAGGAGGTTACCCTGTAGGTGTCCACTGGCCGTGGGTCGAGAGGCCTCTTAAAGTGACATCATAAGTACCATTGGAACCTCATTTGCCAGTAGCAAAATATGAGAATTGTTTTTTTACCCTTTTATCTGGCAACAAAACTGGCACCTGTTTTTTACAAGGAGTCATGTTTGCATTGACCACAATACCTGCAGTCGGAATGCAAACAAAAAAACATAACTCTGATAATGTATGCACTGTCCTTGAAGTTGATTAGTCGACACCCGAGACAGCTTTCCTTAGAGCCTTTTGGCGTCATCTGGTCCAACACCATGTGAGACTAGGCTCTATGATTGCTTTTTCATTGCTTTCATGGCTTTATTTTGGTGATTTCGAAAAGTGTTTTGGTTTAGCCATGTTTGTTTGTTGTAATACAAAGTTAGACTGATGGCCTTAATCTAAGTTGTCTTATGGTTGTTGTTGTTGTTTGACTTGCATCCCACTGGGATTTTTGCACACAGCGTTGGTGTACGGTGTTTTTTCTGCAATATTTTGCTGCCTTTTCTTGGATTTTCTGTTTGCACTTAGTCGAATATTCACTTTAGGATGTTTTTGTTCATGTTTTTGTTTGTTGCGATTGCACCCGATTCAAGAGCCGAATGGCTCACAGGGCTTTACCTAATAAATGAACTTGAACTTGAGGTATTGTGGTCAATGCAAACATGACTCCTTGTAAAAAAGGTGTCAGTTTTGTTGCCAGATAAAAGGGTAAAAACCAATTATGACATCATAAGTAGTTATTCACATCGCCTTCCGCAGCGCTATCCACTGGCATGTTGTAATGTTGCACTTCTCGCCAGGTGAAACCCAACCGGGAATTTCTTTGTCTCACGACGGTACTAATTGAGTGTTATTTGGATCTAAGTTCAAAGGAACCTGATGATTATGGTGTTGATGGCAGTTATAGTGACGATGATGGCAAGTATGCAATAAGCACTCACCCCATTGAAGACGATCCAGGGGACGTATTTGTGAGGAGGGTTGAGGGCGTCTGTGAGCTGGGCGTTGCTGTGCATCAGCTGGTTGCCCAGAGTGCCATTGGCACACGTCTCAACCTGTTGCCAGTTCAGCGTTGGGGCCAACAAGGCCGCACACTAAGAGAGAGACACACACGGAGATGGCTTTTACAAATGTAAAAAAAAGTAATGGATCTACAGATGTTTTTTTATGCAACAAGACGCGAGCCCGACATATCACGCCGAAAAGTACAATTATGTGTATACCTCTTCTTGGTTCTTTCGGCAAAGTCACGTAGAATGGAAATATTAAAATAATAAAAATAAAACATAATAAAATAATTCTCACGACGTTTCGGCCAAAACGCAAGCAGCCGTCCTCAGGTGAAGAACAGGTCTGTCGAGAAGACAGAGTCTGAATGAAACACTCCAGGCTTGGAGCGTCTATTTAAGCTGGGTTAGAGGGAAAAGAGAGCCCAGCTTAAATAGACGCTCCAAGCCTGGAGTGTTTCATTCAGACTCTGTCTTCTCGACAGACCTGTTCTTCACCTGAGGACGGCTGCTTGCGTTGTGGCCGAAACGTTGTGAGAATTATTTAATTATGTTTTATTTGTATTATTTTATTATTTCCATTCTACGTGACTTTACCGAAAGAACCAAGAAGATGAATCCCTGCAGTCACAAAAGCTTTAAATCGAAATTTATGTGTATACCGTATACAGTATTTGAAAGTTGATGACAAGTGGTGAGACCAAATGTGTACCTGATATCAACATCAGATATAAATGTTGTAATAAATTGGCAGTAACACTTAAAACACCGTTTCAATCAAGTGGGAAGACGGAAGAGAGCAATGGGGTCCAGAGTTAAAACTTCTGTGCAGCAAGTCATCTGCAAGGAGATGCAAGTTGAATTGTGAGTGAAAGATTAAGTAGCATTAGCAGGTTGACAGATGGGTACAAAGGGCAATGACCAAATGACGACTTCGTACAAAAGGCAAAGGGAGGTAACAGAGCAACTGTGAGATACAGTGAGGCAATGGAGAGTGACGGGGCTGTATCATCAGTGAGGTTAAAAAGCTATTATTTGGATTCGACCAAGAGGGTTTCGTATTTCCTTGTGTCTCCAATACAAGCGGTCACCACCATGGCTCGGCTGAGAGTCGAGTGCATCAGGCTCTCTAGTGCCTCACCTGGGATGCAGCTGAGACGGGGTCTTCTGCTGCCTCCATGCAGTAGATGATGGGCAAATGATCGGCATTGTTCGGCAAGTAGTGGATCAGGCAAGCCTGCACGGTGCACCACACGTTATATAATAACAGGATCTCAGAATATTGGGATGCACAACTGCTTTTGCAAAAATGAATCGAGCCCCCCCCCCCCCCCATTAAACACTAAAGTGTGTTTCTCTTTTCATGCTGTGGAAATGTAATTTGCATGCATAAAAGTTATATAATACAACTTTTGTATACCCTGGATGAGACGCATTACATTAAGTGAGAAACCGAATTTATATGAGTTTTTTTCGCTGCACTGTAGTTGGTAATTTAACAAAGACTATAAAACGATATAATTTAAGAACCTGATTCAATGACTGCCCAAATATGAACCCAGGATCACTAAACGTGCCGGCTCAGTGCTATGAGACAGATATTATCACCCCCACATTTGTATTCCAAGTATAGATGGACATTCTTCATTGATTTACCACTTTATTTATGTGCGTGCACCATGTGCAATCAAAGTGCAAAGTTTACAATCCAAACCGTTCAAATAAGTGATTAAGCGTGTAGTGTAGCCACACTTATTTTGGCTCAAAGTCAGCATTTCTACAAACTTGGAACTTTGCGAGTCCTCACGCCATGGCAGATGCCTACAGATTTTTTTTTAATTCACCCTCTTTCATTTCCGCGTGACTTCTCTGAAAACCAACCCTTAGTAGTCTTGTGGCTCAGACTAATTTTGTGAAACCACCTTGCGTGCTTTTTTGGAATACGGCCAACTTTGGGGTGACGCCATTGTTTTGAGGGTACAAAACCAACATCAAATATTTCACCAAGTTCCTTGTGATAACCATACAATGAATACATTATTATTGTTAACCCGTCCGTGTTCCAGCGATGCAGTCCACGCACACAATTTGCACGACTTGAAATTCCGCGGTCTTTTGCGTCATGAGAGCCGGTTTGCCGGTCTTCTGCCGCTGCACATGGAGTCTGCTCGATCGTTGGCGTTGTAGCCCCACAGGGTGTGGTGGCTGTTGGTGTCGCCAACGCGGATTGGTTTGGCGGCGGTAGCGGTGGGCACGGTCATTCTACGCACGGGCCTTTACGGCTATGTAGCAGGGTGAGTTGTCGGGCACGACCTCGTACCCAGTCCTGCAGGTCGGTCTTCGTGTACGGTGCGAGGACGGGGACTTCCGGACGCGAGGGTCTGACCCGTTTCTGTTTGAGCGAGGCCGTTATTGATCCGGATGATGGGTTTCTTCCAGCGCCAGGACGCCGGAGTGTCTCTTTAAACCCTGGGACCTTGGCGATTCAATCTCATTTAGCGCCAGAGATGCCCTCGGTGTTCAGCCGCGTTATTCGCAGCGACGGGCGGACATTCAGATTTCTGTGGCCTTGGGAAGAAGGGGCCGTTTGTACGATTGCTCACCATGCCGGGATACCTTTGTCGGGCATTCGGCCGCTGATTTAATGAAATTCGTTTTGCTTTCACATGTAGAAGGGAATATAATATTGTTGCTGTTTTATGTCGTGGTGATGACGATGCGGTTGTATGAGATATAATAAGAAATACCTCCAATGAATGAAGGTGTGCGGGTTGGTGATTTCAAATGTAACCTCTCTGGATAGCGGGAACTAATAAATTAAGAAATGGCTCAACGCGCGAATAAAACAATGAATTAACGAATCGGGTGTGTATTCATGCACGCACTCACCTGCAGCAGATTCCCAAGGCATTCTTGGGGGCCGTGCTGACACGTGAACACCCACTGATCTCCGTCGTGTTTCTCCTGCAGACAGTGAAGACAAATGTGCACGAGCTACCGAACCCTATGACGGAGTTCGTCGTTACCCCAAGCCCCCTCTTTAAATGCAGGCGTCACTGGGACCCCTCTCGCACGTTAAACACATTAAAAGCCAAGTGTCGGCAAACCCAAATAAACAATGGGCGATGCTCATCTCCAGTCATGGACCTGTGCCAGTGGTAGAAATTCTACGTTCCTATAGCAGGAGTTTATCAAAGGAACTCACTATTAGCTTCCCACAAGGCAGAACTCATGATTATAAATCAACTAAACGTGTCTCATATTCTTGGTTCTTTCGGTAAAGTCACGTATAAGGGAAATAATAGAAATATAAAACAAAAAAAATTCTCACGACGTTTCGACTGCAACACAATCAATCATCATCAGGTGTAAAAATCCACATTATTTCCCTTCTACGTAACTTTACCGAAAGAACCAAGAATATGAATCCCTGCAGTCACGAAAGCTTTAAATCAAAATTTAAACGTGTCTCCCTGATTAAAAATTAGCAGCGGGGACTTTGCTCGTGATTTGGTGAGCTAGTGCTGCGGATTCCTCATTCTTATGGCAGTGAATGGTTTATCCGTCGGCCAACCACGATTGAATTCTGAAAGGGCTGGTGGGACTTGAACTCACTTCCTTATGATTGTGAGTCGAGCGCTTTGCCACAGTACCGCTTGGCCAGAGGTATGTGCGCGCACACACAAGCATACGCACAAATGTGTGTCTATATATTTATCGGTGAGTGTGTGCACCATATCATATGCACGTTTTTAGTGGGCACTTGTGCACATGGGTGCAATCAGACCAAGATATTTGCATGAATCTCAGAGAACAATACAGCACAGCCGGGAACACCTACGGCCATGCATTATGTTGGCGATGCTGCTGCTGTTCCATTGGCAGTGGTGTGCAAGCATGAATAACAAAATAACTCAACTATACAACTATAAACTATTTTTTGTATTTTACCAGGTAAGGCCCACTGAGCTGTGTAACTCTTTTTCAGAAGCCACCTGGCCACGAATGATAGCTCAACGAAGTGGCTCATCATGGAGAAATGTTTCGGAGCTAACTACTCGAAATGTACGTTGATTCTAAATGTGAATGGGAAAACATCGGGGGATCCGGAGAATAATCGACACGACTACGGGGAAAGAGACCCGTAAACTCCAAATATACAGCAGGCGTCGGGGTCTGGATCGAACCCACGACCTCCTCCATATCAGGCGAGGGAGTTAACATCTCGCCACCATCAATACAAAATATACATCATAGGCTCAGGAAATGGCTCTTCTTCATAGAACATTGAAAAATATTGTTACGTGCTCTGAATGCGGGCCATTGCCCAAAACGTCACCTATTATATACTTGAAAATTGTACGTTTGAAGCTGGCGTTATTAACGAATGTTTTTTTTTCAGTCATTTACCGTATCAATGACGAAGCAAAACCTGAACCGATACTGCCACGAACCGATACTTGCTGTTTGTATCACTACCGACAAAATCACGATTGTAACGGAGATATGGGGCCGTCCATAAATGACGTCACGCGATTTTGGACGATTTTTAACCCCGCCCCCCCCCCTTGTCACACAGCGTCACAAAAAGTCAGACCCCCCCCTCAAATATAACGTCACAAAGCTTTGCCCCCCCCTCCCCCCAAAAAACATTTCCATTTTGAAAATAAAACATGCTTCAAATCGCTTTAAACTATTGTCATTGTAGTGCGTATTTAATGTGGCGCTGCACTCTGATGTAGGAGAAAAGTTTATTAAAAAGTATATTTAATCAAGTAGAACGTGTTGTCTATGTTTATTTAAAGTTGCACATTTTGATGTGACGTCACATTTCTCAAACCCCCCCCCCCTCGTCACACATCGTCACAAATGTCTGACCCCCCCCCCCCAGGTGCGTGACGTCATTTATGGACGGCCCCTAACGTGCGTGTTCTGTGCGGTGTGCGCGCGCGCGTGTTTCTCTCATACCTGGGCATTGCCGTACGGCACCAGGGTGACGTTCATGATGTCCCCCAGGAGGAGCCACGTGCCGTAGAGCTGCCCCGTGGTGAAGGCGCGACACCCGGGACACAGGGACTCCGCGTACAGCTCGAGGCTCACCGCCTCCGCACCGCCGCATGCACGGCCATCCTGTCGCAGGGCAACAGTCACCAACAAAGAGAAAGATTCCTCCCCGCCCCCCCCGGGTATGGCCTTGAACAGACTGTTGGGGGCAGGTGCTGTTTTTAGCGAGCACCTATGGCGCACGAGGAGGTGGTGTGGGTAGTAGTCACCAAGCCCGGCCGACTTCGTCCCCCCCCCCCCCCACTGCAATGCTGATATTTACAAAGCACACCAGCTGCTGTACTCATTTAAGGCTGCGTCGACCTAGGGGAAGGCCGCCCCGCCCAGGACCGGCTCAAATATTCGCCACCGTTATTGGCCCCGAGCGGCAATCCAACACGATCACCGTCGTCGTCATCATTAGCATCAATAGCATCACCAACACGAGCAGTGACACACCCACGTATGTTCTGTCCCAGGTCGCCATGACCGCCACCATCAACCACCATGTCCTCATTAACTACGTCGTCATCAGCATCAGCCTCATCGGCATCAACATGAATGTACTCGTAAATACAGGAAAGGTAAAAGCGCAGCCGTCGAATTGCTTGCTCACGCCGCTGCCGGCAGATGGGCCCGCAGAACCAGGGAGTTCTCTGGGGTGTCCAGTCTCCTCTTTCTTCCACACCGTTGGAAGAGGTGGGCTTAACCCGCAGTTTACCCCATCACACAGGACCTGCCCATTGACGGTGGATAACCCACCGATTCTGCTGGGTGGACAGAGGCGGGCGTGTGGATTTCAGAACCAAACTCATAGCCGCTCATAAGTAGCGGCGCCCTATATAAGGGATATTCTAAAAAAAGAGACCGTTTAATGTAACTCACACCTGCTTAACAGTGTATATACTACTAATAATAGAGGAATACATTGACCTGGCAAAACATTGCTGAGTAAAGATTCGAATACAAAGGAACCCCTGTGTAGAATGTTTTGTCAGACTTTGTTTAGTATGGTTTTACATGTGGTCAGCATCTGGAATTCCCAGAGACAAAAAACAGAAATAGCATGTCAGAAGCCTACTTGCTCTACTGCCTCATAGAGCCACCTTTCTATTTGGATAACGCACGCAACATCATCAGGAGACTCACGGCCCCATCTCTGCGTGATCCACCAACCTTGCTTCCTCGTCACTGGATTAGAGATGGGCGCTACCACGGTTGGGAATTTAAGGCCGACCAAGCAACATCGTTAAGTTAAAGACGTTGATTAAACCATGACATGATGAACATTATGAACATTTGTAATCATTTGTTTTTCTGACCAATTAATGGTTATCAGTGACCAGGCTGAGACAGAGTGGCTCAGATACTATTCTGTTGGGAGCCTGGAGATTGTATTCAAGACTTTTCAGCTGCTGCATCGATAACTTATTTTTTTTTACTGGGTAAGGCCCACTGAGCTACGTAGCTATTTCTCAAAAGCGACCTGGCCACACAATTATAGTTCAACGAAGTGGCTTATCAAGTGGAAATCTGTAGCAGCCAAATATTAAACGCGTGTTGATTCTAATGTGGAGGGAAACAAGGGAGGACGCGGAGAAAATCTACGCTACCATGGGGCGAGAGAAACGCAAATTCCAAATTCACAACTGGCGTCAGGGTCGGGATTGAACCCACGACCTCCTGCATACCAGGCGAGGCAGTGAACATCTCGCCACCGCGGGACCCCCACTCTGATACCACAAACATGAGCATCTGTCACCCGAGCCACCTATCCCACACAATGTAGCGTTGTACCGTACTTAAAGTTACTGCAATACCTAGGAGGGGTCCGCGTACCCCAGGGGGCTTATGACAATTCAGATACCGTGATCCATTACCCCTGATTAATCCAGGCTTTCAGCTGCCCCCGATTAAACCAGGGCATTTCTGCGTGAAGGTCTCAGCCTGGGCCATCGGTGACTTGCTCTGAGACCCACTGGCTTAAGAAGAGACAGGGGCGCAGGTGTTGTGGTTATCTAGAACGACTCCCTAAACCAGGGGTCGGCAACCTACGGCTCCGGAGCCGCATGCGGCTCTTTACGGGCTGCTTCTTGACGATGAGTACGTATGTACTCAGATGCATTGCGGCTCTTGAAATACTGAATTTTGTACCGAATTGGAAAGAAATGGCTCTTCTTGTTATTTTGGTTGCCGACCCCTGCCCTAAACGTTTAGAGACATCACAAGAGACACCCACACACGTTTGGCTACAAAAATCGTGGCATTTTTGATGCTCCGTGTGTTTTTTTTTTCTCCCTTCATTCAACAAGGTGACACAACTCTGACCAGATGACGCTTTAGATACGCAGCATTGCACGAGCAGCAGGCTCAGTACTGAGTCGGTCAACTTCTTCTTTCGCATGGCTCATGTAGATGCAGAGCTACAACTACAATCTCACATTCAGGTCAAGTCAGATAACCGTGCGAGGAGTCGCGGAGTGTATCGTCATCGCTGTGATGTCTCCTTCGTATTTGTGGATCGGGCATTGCGTCGTTATACGTTGTGCGGCCTGTTCTGGATGACCACAGTCGCACACTGAATAGTTTTTTTACTGAGTCATTAGCCAATATTCACGTATATTTACTATGAATATGGTACAGCAGTTCAGTTTAACGTGGCTTGTATGCCAACAAGTCAAGCATTCCCTTGCTGGTCTCTCATTCGGAAGCTGTAATTTCGTTACATCCTATGAGCTTACACTGCACGAGTTTCACAAAGAAAACCAAAGTGAAACAAATGTTCAACAGAGTGTGTCAGTACTTGTGTAAAGACTGTGCCAGTGAGTCTCGAGGTGAAGACAGGGTGTCAGCGAGGCTGGATTCAAAGACAAGGGTGCCAGCCAGTCTGGAGTTGTCTTGGTTGGGAGATTCCTCAGAGTGTCCAAAAGAGACAGCTGCGGAAATTCCCCCGGAGAATCCACGAGGATAAAAGCAGGGCAAGATGGGATGCTCGGGGACTGCGGAGATGGACTTGGGCCATCGTCGCTGTCTTCACGTCGTCGCGGTCCTCTCGGTCATACGATCTCTACGTCGGCATGATCTCGTGACGACGGGGCCCTAAGCTACGTTACGTGAAATAAAAGAAACCTCGAAAGTTCGAGCCCGGAGCCATGACAACTTGTGTCAGGAGTGGGGTGAATGCATGCAAGTGTGGCAAGGGTAATTCGCGATCGCATTCGCGAATAACAGGTCACCATGCATCCGTAACCCAACCAATAGCCACATGGGAACCATTCTCTGAGTAGGAAACCCCCACGAAGTTGAGAAAACCGGATTCTCAGGTGTAGCGAGTTGGTTGTCTCAGCCCGGTCACATGCGGCTGCCCACACACACACGCACGCCTATCACATTGTACATCGGCTCTGTCACTTCTATTATATTGATGCTTGCTGACTACAGTACAAAGTGGCAAGGGATAAGGGATGGGGGTCAGGCGGTGACCAAGGTGGAGGGGAGCGAGGTGGCGGTTGCGGCGGTGGAGGCATCAAGGGCGTGAGGTGGTGCTGGTGGGGGTAGAGAAAAGAGGAGCTGAGGGCAATGCGAAAAGGGGACAGCGAGGGGAGAGAGTAGCATGTGGAGATGGCGTTTGATGCCTTCACAGTATCTTGAGCGACAAGGGATTTGCTGTTGTTGTTACGGATTACACATCCGACAATGAACACCCATGTGATCGGGCACGTGGAGCACGGTATATTATATATACATACAATTATGAGACAACACAAAGCAAAAGAGATACCTTGCGATAAGGAGAGGCGTCACAGGGTTTTGCTTTCGGATAACCATGCGCATTGTTTGCCAGCAGAAGTCCCACCACTAGACCGACAAGCACTCCCCATGACATCATCCTGAGCATCAAACTTTGTCGCTGGTCTAAAAAAAATGCGAACGTTTTATATTCAGCTGCCAACTTTACTTTTGCTAGTTTTACAACAACAACAAAAAAAAGATCGGTGCTTCTTCAACCACGGATTTTCAGCCACTGAGTTGCTGCTGCCTGCCGCCGCTGCCGGTTTATATACAGGTGGGCCAAATGACGTAGCAGAGGGGGAAAGATCGTAGCGAGCGAATGATTCACATCGCATTGTCAATGCTTTTGGCGTTGCGTAATGCGTCCAACGGAATGCCAGGGCACAAAGGGCAAGCCAGTCTTGGTAATGAGCCTCAGTGTTTGATGCCAGCCAACAAAAGCGTTGGGCATGAACTGTCTGACGGAAGAAAAAACAAAACGCTTTGACATTTGTAAAGTTATACCACGCGTGGGAAATGTGAATAAAGAATATCTTCAAAGAAAAGTTGTAAAAATAATTGTCAAATTAAGTGCTCGTACAAAGTCAGATGTTGAAGCCCCCCCCCCCTTACTCAAATGAACACCAATATTATGATTCTTGTTTTCTCTGATTGTGCTGATTTGAGCAGCACAGCCTCACCGAGTCCTGCCAAGTTTTCGGAGCAGGGTGTGACGCTGCCACGTGGACATTTGCAGATAGTTTCCTTTTCGCATTGGGATGTTTGGTATAAAGTCAATATTACCAAGACAGGGCCCAGTCTGTCCACATAACAAAAGTAGGTACTTACTTAATCAACCCCAGCGGGATTGTGGGTAGAATTAACCCCCATTCTGGATTTGAACTCACAACCTTCTGATTGTGACGCAAGTGTTTTGCCACAGAACATGCATTCCCGTTTGCAGTACAGAACATGCAACTACATACATATCGTATGTACATGTTTACCTTTGCATGTCCTTTGTACAATTGCATTTCTGGTGGTTGCGCACGCCTACGATCCAGCACTGTGGAGGCCAGGTTGGTGGCTCACACGAATGTTGTGAAATTCCCTTCCGGTGGACGTTGAGGAGGTGCAATGCCCTGGATCGCCAGGAGCAGGGGCTACAGCAAATATGGACTCCACACGTTTCGTCTGTACGGGATAGAGCGTTGCCCCGTCGCACTTGTGGGTTTTCGTCGGGTGCTCCGGTTTCCCCTTATATATTAACGCATTAACTGGCCAATGAACACCTCGACATATAGAGGATCGCAGAGCTTTGGTGGAATTTGGCACCAGCTCACCACCTCTCTACTGCTTTCCCTCTTGTCTGTGGTCCATCCTCACGTCTCTGAGTCGTTCTTCTCTCTTCAGGAGTGAGCAAATACTGCTCATTGCAGACGTAGAGTCCTTTGTAAAGCCAGTGCGTCAAATATAACCTCCAATTAAATATCGAACTCAGGTCACCGGGTTCATCCTGCAATGCACTGGATTCCCAATGTATTAATATCTCACAGGTGGCCGTGTGGCTTGATGGGATAACCCTACGCCTTCGCAAAGAAGGTGGCGAAATGTTAACTCCCTCGCCTGGCATGCATGAGGTCGTGGGTTGGATCCCGATCCCGACCCTGACACGGTGAGCATAAATTCCCCATACTGTACCTCTGTTTTTAACGCTATTCTGGACTGAGAGATCAGTATCGGGGCATCGGGGCTTTCCACCCATCCGAATGCTATCTCCTACAGGGCCACCCAGGCGGACAATATGAATACTGCAGTTGGATGAGATCGTCTTAAAATATCAAATCGTTCAGTTTTGTTCTTTATTCGTAAGCAGTCGATAGTAGATAATGGAGTCAAGAAATATGCAGCTTGGTGTACACGTGTGTGTACAAAAACGCATGTACAGCCTCTTTGGCAATCCACTGCTGGATGAAGGAAACTCCACGCGCTGTCGGTCTTGGGTATTGTTTGACCATACTTCACTACCTGGTCAATGCCGATTGATCAAGGCGGGGAGCATTGACGTAGGAGTAAGTTCAGTACAACAATCTTTGAAGAGTGCGGTAAAGATCAAGGGAGCAGCATGGCGATGTCTCACTTACTCCACTAGAGGGCGCGTGAGGGTATTTGGTCGATTCTTCTACGTTGGCCGGGCGACTTTTAAACGGTGAAAAGTGTGTGGAGTACCCACGGGTTACCCCACCAATCACGACCTGCCGATCGACTAACTGTAATTGTACCTGCAACAACAACCGCCATTCGCCACTAAGTGGCGGTGACGTCACCACGACGCTTGTGCCAGGCCAAGTGCACCTTGAGGCCACGTGAAGTGTCGAACGCCCGCTGGCAGGAGGTCACGGGGCAGACCCAGGTGCCACGGGTCGACTGACTGTGATTGTACCTACACATATATATATACATACACCACTCGGTGAGCAGAGGCTGGGGAATTTAAGAAACATGCATCATTGTTTCAACTGCCACGCTGGAAGATCGATCGTGCGACCTTTAGTTTGGCAATTCCCGTGTGCACTGACCATTGCACCACTGTGGCCGCGCGTGGTGTTAGCGTCACATTCTCCCCCTGCCAGTGCACGCGCAGGGCAGATAACTAACTTGATATAGAGTTCCACGTGATGTACAAAAAGGCTTTGTGACCTTGGGTAATAGACTCATTTTTTTGTAATGATTCATCCAAACAAACAACAGCCCGTGACTCCGGGACCCATGGCCCTGTCCCAAGTGTGAGTCAATGCACGCGCATTGAGAACCACGAAAGCGTTTCTGCTCAGTCTGCAGCGTCATGGGCAAGGGTCGACAAACTCGTGATTACCAGAGCCACGTGCAACTCTTTATAGTCCACGGACCCAGGCCCAACACAATTAACTTATTCTAATAGGGGGTTTCCCCTTTTTTCTGGCAACAAAACTGACACCTTTTGCAAGGAATCATGCTTACATTAACCACAATACTTGCAGTCAAATGCAAACAAAAAACAATACTCTGATAATTTATGCATTGTCCTTGAAACTGATTGGTCCACACCAGAGACAGCTATCTTTAGAGCCTAGTCTCATATGGTGTTCGACCATATGACGCCAAAAGGCGCACAGTTCTAAGACAACGCTACTCTCAGAGTAATGAGAGCTCGGGGGGAGCAGCTACATCATGGGACCTCCATGATGTAACTTATTGGTACCACCTGAGTTGGCAAAGTCTAGTAATGATTTTTGTAATCCTCCACGTGTGTGGGACATATTCTGATATGATAACCTTTGCGGAGTGGCAACTTAGTTATAGTTACCATGACTTTTATACCCATACCCTATGACAGGCATCCGGAACGATGAAATAGGCATTATTAATGGAAAACGACCTAGACCAAAGCCAGTTAGGTCACAAACTGGTCTTTATTGGTTTAAATACACAATGAGAAGACAGGATAATAAAAAAATACCTTAGTGAGGTAAGGAGCTACTTGAATATTATTAACATTGACATTCGCATATACTTAGTCAATGATACATGTAATCCCATATATATATTATTAGTGATATGTATATGTGAAGAAGGTGACATTATTGTTATCAAGCTCTGTGTGTACTTAAATGAGGATAACCAAGTCTAGAATCACCACACTGTGCATCAATGTATACTACTCCATAGGCCTCTATGGAGATGGTGTCCTCAAGCTGCCCCTCACCAGTCTAACCGAGGAATTCAAGTGTGCAAAAACCAGGCTCCAGATGACACTGAATGAATCTCGAGACCCAGTGGTGAGCAACAACGCGCCGACCTTGGCAACTGGGCGCAAATAGAGGCCAGGAAAAGCAGTCCAGGAGGCAACAGCAACCCTCAGACATGCTGACATTGTGGGTCAGGTTCAGCAAGGGAGAGGAGGCCTTGGGCTAACTAGCCGTGCTGCTTGGAGTAAGGCCACTGCACCAGAGCGGCGGAAGATGGTAGTGCAGGAAGTACGCCATCAGGAGGAGGCTGCAAGGTGGGCCAAGGCAGTCTTTCTTGCCAAACAAGGACAGTGGACTCGATGGGACAGTGTGGAGAAGAGGAAGATCAGCTGGAAGGATCTGTGGGCCACGGAAGCGAGGCGGTTGAGCTTCTCCATCAGAGCAACATATGACATCCTTCCAACACCAGTTAATCTTCACCAATGGTATGGTGAAGATCCGGACTGTGCCCTCTGTTCCATGCCAGCCAACCTCAGGCACATTCTCACAGGGTGTAAAACAAGCCTCACCCAAGGACGCTACACTTGGCGTCACAACCAAGTCCTTAAAAACCTTGCGTCCACCCTGGAGGACAAGCGAGCTGCCACCAACTCCCTACCACCCCCAGCAGCATCACACCCCTTACGGACGACCTGTGTCCGCGAAGGGGCTAAACCACCGAAGAGCGGCTCTACACCAATAGAGCGAGACCAGCTGCGCTTGGCCCGCGACTGGAAAATGCTAGCTGACATTGGCCGGCAACTTGTGTTTCCTCCGGAGATCGCAACCACCACCCTAAGACCTGACGTGGTGCTCTGGTCCCGTTCGCTCAAGAAGGTCTTCATCATTGAGCTCACAGCACCCTGGGAGGACTCAGTAGATGAGGCTTATGAGCGAAAACATCTGCGCTATGCCGATCTAGCTGCCGAAGCACGGCATCATGGCTGGAACACAGAAGTCCGACCAGTGGAGGTGGGCTGCAGAGGTTTTGTGGCAACATCTACAACCAGACTGCTTAGAGACCTGGGAATTAAGGGCCAGAGCCAGCGTTCGGCAATCAAAGCTGTATCGGAGGCGGCAGAAGGCAGCAGTCAGTGGCTCTGGATGAAGAGGAAAGACCCCAGCTGGGCCCCAAAGTGAGAGGGCCAGGAGGTATGCAGTCAACAATGCTTGACTCAGGGAGGAGGACGCCCCTGCCATGCATAGTCCTATGGGATGTTGGCTACCAACAACAAGGCAACTCCTATGACTAATTGGGAATGGGACGCAAGCGTAGGATTGATCACCCTGTCGCTGGCCGCCTTTGGGGAGGGTGTATAGTATGAAAGGCCGAAACACCCTAGGAACCAAAGGGTCACTACTGACGATGCGCTCCCCAAATTTCACCAGGCTCACTGTTCATGAACTCTTGGAAGTGCTTGCACAAAGGATAGTAACATCTCATCCTGTGTTCTTTGGAATACTACCACAGTAATACC